TCACTAACCAAATGAATGGATTACATTTACGAAAATTTACAAATATTTTGTCGAATGGGATTGCGAAAAACATTTTTTATTTACGTCATTTTAATTTTATTGTTGACATTAATGACTTAATAACAGTCGCCATATTTACCTTCAAACAGCCTTCACCCCACCCTTCTAAAAGTAACTGTGTGTGTACAGAGTGTTTAAATTTCAAATTACTTATTGCTAACTTGCTCTTGTATTTCGTTAAAACGTTTATCATGACTAATTATTGCGTTACTTCTTAAAAAAAAATGAAAATATTCTACTTTACATACCTAATGAAAATCTATTGTCACCACAAAACAAAACTTCTTAGATTTTCACAAATTTTATAAGAAAATACAACGATAAAATAAATAAAGAATATCAATCTGGTGTTTTTAAGTTCTTGACTAGCAATTTATTAAAACTACCAGACATGGATCGTGATTTTGAAGTTTAATGCTGCCTGAGGCGTGCTGATTAGAACCAATAAGTTCAGAATCACGATCTATATCAGGTTTCGATAAATTACCACAACTTATTTTTCTTTATTGGTTTTACAATTAAAATAAGACGAAAAATATTAAAACAAACTGCTTCTTTGAGATGAACTATCATAATAAATTTTAAGGCTAAGTAAAAGTTAAATATACAGAAGATTCGAAATATTCACGTAACTTTTTAATAATACAAAAAAAACGTGGATTGAAAACTAAAATAGTCCAAGAAAATGTACAAAACCAGGTAAACTTTGTACCAAATTGAAAGACTAGGTAATTTTTATTCAACACCCTGAAAAAGTAGGTATTTAACTTCATGGTATTGAAACGAATTTAGGAACCCAAAGTATTCATGTGTGTTGTTTACACACTTTTAACTAAGTAACAATCTTTCACTGAAACTTATTTAAGAACAATGAAGTATGATGCTATCTTGAAGTTGATGAGTTAAAATAGTTCAAAATGTATGATTCAATACCAAAATAGGCAAAAAATTTATATACAATAAAAATGTTTTCCTTTTTTTCAGGTGAAATAAAACACCGACATGGAAGAGACAGAAACTAGGTAAGAAGTTATTCGCTTTTAAAGGAGACTACTGAGATCTTTATATGGAATGGCTTCAATGCACTGACAATAGAACCAAGTAATTCTTTGGGCACTAGTTAGGCATAAATCATTTAGAATACTCAAACATTTTTTATTCATCCTTACGGCCTAATCTCCGTAGTCTCCTTTGTAGAAATTATACAGCTTTCTTATTTAATTTAGACTTGTGCTGTTTTATACAGATAAATGTCTTATTTTTGTTTACGGAGGTAAACAAGTAAATTTTGCGTGTAATTTATTTAAGAAAGGAAAAATAAATTAATCTTATAATAACTTACTTTAATTAACTGAATATACGGAATTACGATTAATTAGCTAGGATCTACGAATTAATTAATTTCTCCACGTTAAACTTTGTTTAGGAGGAACTGGAGAATGCAGAAAATTGCATTCACTTTTATTTTTACAAAATTTGCCAAATCTGCAAGGCCGGGGGTGGTAAAATGTACAGTGGGCATTGCTACAGTTTGGAAAAAATTTGCACTGTTGCAGTTGTGAAGGTAAAAACGGTCCTAAAATAATAAAGGCGATTATTATTACCATATCTAAAGTTAAAAAGTGCAAACTTCTTACCATTGAGGCAACTCTTTGGCAAATGACTAAAAGGACAGTCCTTTTTGGTACATGAATTTTCAAATTTACAAGGTGGGTGTAAATATAAGCACTTGTCTCCAAATTTACAACGGGGAAAGTTTTTGCAAAGTGTATTGGGATGTAGATATTCGCATTTTTCTCCTTTATTACAAACTGGCCAATATTTACATCTTTCTTTGACTTTTAGAATTGTGGGTTGGTGAACTATAGGCAATGCTTCGGGAATTTCAGTTTTTTTTTCAGCAAAAATTATAGGAGAATTTTTCCTGTTAAGAGATTGAATATTTTCCAATTCAGTTTTTGCAAGTATATTTGGACAACGTAAGGTTTTAATTTCTTTACACTTATTCTTGTTTATTCCATCAAGGGTTATGACGAAGCGGTGATGAAGGGTTGTTTTTGTATGATCACCATCATTTGATAAAGTATCTGTAGGATTCGCCTCCTTATAGGTCGGAACGTATTCATGTTCCTTATCTTCAACTAGTTTACGTTTTAATGGTTTAGGAACATACTTCAGTTTTTCATCATCGCTACTACTAGCATCTCTGTCGTCCATTTGTATTAAAATACTTCGTAATTTACTTTTTGCTGCCTCAGGCAGCTTGCCAGGAATCGCTTTTTTGGCCTTAATAGTTTTCTTGTTACCTTTTTCTGATAGTAAAGGTTTAGGCTACAATATAAACAAAGGTAAAATATACCTTTTAAAATATAATAGGTACACTAAACATTATTTTTCATACTTTTCTGATGAACAGGTGCAAAAATTGTTTATTTAAAATAAGAGGAATAAGTTTAAATTGATAACAGAATGGCTCCATATATTTGAAAATAAGCAAAACACTTATACATTAAGCCACTGCTAGGATGATATAATTTTTAAAATTTACATGTAAAATTAATAACTTTATATGAGCATGAATTTCAGTTTAATTGATGTTGATATTAAAAATAAAAATAAAATAATACTGTGGTATACTTAATAAGATATGCTTGAAATCCAACACCAAGTACTGCAATAAGAATACAAGCCCATGCAATAATACCATTAGAAACTTTAGGAATCCCTTCTATTCCATAATAAGGCTTGTTTTTAAAAAAAGAGTCTTGAGTTCTGTCTCTGTTTTCCCAGAAATTTGGGTCCTTTCTTGGTCTATATCTACCAAAACAGATGAGTTTACGTCTAAAAATAAAACTTTGGAAAACCAGCTGTTCTATTTTCCTATAACACAAAAAAAGGAAATGTTATTGGCTTTAGACCAACAAAATCCTTAATTCAAATAAACAGACTGTTTTTGCGTGTCGACAATTTTAACTGGCTTATCTTTCATTGGAATAATGCGTTTAATAATGTTCTGTAGCGCAATAAACAAATTCCGTATTACATATACGTTCATTATAAATAAACTGTAAATCAAAACCAACGGAGACCAAACAGTATCTGTTTCCGATTTTTTTGAAAACTTTAAAAATACGTAAAACCCAAAATAACTAATTCAGCTATGACATGATGGGAATCAGGAGAAAAATACGATAATCTAAAAGAAAATAAACTCATTGTGTTACGCTTTGCATTTTATTGTTAGTTGGAAGAATCTTCTGATTTTCTGCGCCTCAATATAAATGCCTCTATTATACCACAACCACAATCCTAATGATCATATTTTCAGAAGTCTGCTTTTAATTTTTACGAGTTTAATTTGCGCATAATATTACTAGAGTTTAGAAAAACGTATCTATTAAAAACTATATTTGTTTTTTTTTTACTTTAGTGAAATTGCCAAGGAGCAAGGATATAAATTAATTCGTGTCGACTGTTCAAGCAACTTTAGTGCTCGAGCAATGGCCAAGCTGGGTTTCGAGAGCATTAGCGAATTGAAATACGAAGATTATAAACCAAATGGGGAAATTGTGTTTAAGCCCGCATTCCCTCATACTGAAGTAAAATCATTTGTCTGGAGGCTGTGAAGAATTTTTCGATGAGTACCTAAGAGTATGTTTAAAGAGAGGGCCAATTTCAACCCGTAAATTATACCTTTATAAGTACCTTATAATAAATCTAATGATAATTATAATAATTGTTGCTACGTTTATGTTCCTATTTTTCACAATTTACTTGAATATGGAATAAAAGCGCATTTAATACCTAAATCGAAAAAAAAAAAAATACAGCTTTATTTATATGTGGTATGTGTAATGTATGCACCTTCGTTTTTAATTGAATAGACACTAAATAGGTATATAAAAACATATGTCTGTCCCAATAAATTTGATGTTTGTAAGATGTAAATGCGAATACGTGCTCTACCAGAAGGATTATATTATTAAATTATTATAATTCATTGTGTTGAAGAAGACTCCGTGGCTGGACCAGTTTTTGGTAGATATAAAATTTAATATTAATTGTAATGAATGTCGTATGCATCTACGTAGGTATTTCTTCGTTAATAATAAAACACATTTAGGTATCAGCAGGGTTGGTTAGCTTTGTTGTATGGAAACCGATGNTAGTTAGGCATAAATCATTTAGAATACTCAAACATTTTGTATTCATCCTTACGGCCTAATCTCCGTAGTCTCCTTTGTAGAAATTATACAGCTTTCTTATTTAATTTAGACTTGTGCTGTTTTATACAGATAAATGTCTTATTTTTGTTTACGGAGGTAAACAAGTAAATTTTGCGTGTAATTTATTTAAGAAAGGAAAAATAAATTAATCTTATAATAACTTACTTTAATTAACTGAATAAAAAGAATTACTATATAACAATTTTAAAAAATTAGTTTGGATCACTCCTAATTAGAGCGTAAAGCCTTCACCAAAAGAGCTCCAAATTTCTACTTAAATCTCTTATTTTATTCCTTGAAGCACCAACTTCATTTTAAAATCGAAGGACTTTGAAATACCGATTTTGTTGTTTGAAAGTGCTTTAAGCACTTCGATAAGTGTGAAATTACAGTTTGCTTAATAGGACTGGAAGTACAATTTCTTGTTTTGTTTCTAGGGTGGCGGTCAATTAATTAAACAAATTGTTTTTTGTAACGTTTCGGTTTATTTAAATCATCTTCAGATTGAAAATTTTTTAGTTATAGTTCTACTACTTGTGCATAGATTTTAACTAAAATACAATTTTAAACATAAAGCACTAAAGCTCGTTAAAGCTCTTTTCGGCTCTGCTCCTAATAGGTAGATAACCTTTTCTTCATGCTTGTAAATAAATCAAAAATGTCCAGAAAAATCCTTAGGGGTTTTTTTATTAGCCCCCGTCCATCACCGCGGTTTTATCCTTCGACCCCCCTCGATACAATGTGACCCCCCGACCCTCTTTCAGATCCATATGGCTTAAAACCACAACTTCTTATCTAATACGTTTTTAAGGAATATTACACCTAGTATAGAATTTCTTTTTTTTGTACAAAGTCACAATTCCTTTTAAAATAACAGACAGTTGTTAATGTTTAAATTCAACTCGAAAATATAAAAATCAGTTACAATAAAAAATAAAATTTATTGTTTATATACATTTGCTACAATTTATTTAATAGATAGAAATATTATACATTTGTATTATACTTTTTAAGAGGCTTTTGAGTCACCAACATCAAGAAATTCGTCATTATAAGTCCACTCATTTTCCTTAAACTTTTCTGTTAACAGTTCAATTTGTTTCTTATTTCCATTCTGTTCTGCTTGATTTCTTAAATTTGTTAATAATAGCTCATTTGTGGCACTTTGCAGAATTAATTTGTCTCTCCTTAATGTCATTGCATGCCTAAAAATATTTCAAGTGATAAATTAGTAAAATCAAATGTTAATCTTTCTATGAGAATGAGTTAGAAAAGAGAAGTAAGTAATATGAAAATAATTCTTTAAAAATTAATAAGTGTTTTGTTTTCAAATCAGAACCATTATTAAAATGAAGATCTGTTGAACATTTACAATTACAATTTACAATTATACTCTTTGTTCATATATTAAAAATAAAAATAAAATAATACTGTGGTATACTTAATAAGATATGCTTGAAATCCAACACCAAGTACTGCAATAAGAATACAAGCCCATGCAATAATACCATTAGAAACTTTAGGAATCCCTTCTATTCCATAATAAGGCTTGTTTTTAAAAAAAGAGTCTTGAGTTCTGTCTCTGTTTTCCCAGAAATTTGGGTCCTTTCTTGGTCTATATCTACCAAAACAGATAAATACTGTTTTATTTCTGATAATTTATTTATAAAATATTGAATAACTAAGTACCTTGTAAAATTATGGTCTGCAAAGTCTGAGTGAACATTATAACCACCAACACTTACTGAAGGGTTGAGTTGAAGATCATAAAGTCTTCGGCTTTCTGTTTTACCTAATACATTATAAGCCTCAAGTATTTTGGTGTACTCAGAATGTGCATTTGCATTTTTATTTACATCTGGATGATACTAAAATTAAACTAATATTGTAATAATTATTATTTGAACTTGAAGATCTTCCAATATTAAGTACTTACTTTTTTACTTAGAGTGATAAATGCATTTTTAATTTCCTCATGTGTACACCCCTTTTTGATATTTAAGATATCATAATGAGTTCTTATAAAAGAAATATTGCTTCTTTGAAATTGTCTAGTGCTGAAACAAAATCAATATTTAATTTTTAACTGACAATGAGATGAGGTACTTAAGTAGCTAATTTAATTTTCTGTAATTTGATGGAAAATTATATATTTTTCACTAACCAAATGAATGGATTACATTTACGAAAATTTACAAATATTTTGTCGAATGGGATTGCGAAAAACATTTTTTATTTACGTCATTTTAATTTTATTGTTGACATTAATGACTTAATAACAGTCGCCATATTTACCTTCAAACAGCCTTCACCCCACCCTTCTAAAAGTAACTGTGTGTGTACAGAGTGTTTAAATTTCAAATTACTTATTGCTAACTTGCTCTTGTATTTCGTTAAAACGTTTATCATGACTAATTATTGCGTTACTTCTTAAAAAAAAATGAAAATATTCTACTTTACATACCTAATGAAAATCTATTGTCACCACAAAACAAAACTTCTTAGATTTTCACAAATTTTATAAGAAATTACAACGATAAAATAAATAAAGAATATCAATCTGGTGTTTTTAAGTTCTTGACTAGCAATTTATTAAAACTACCAGACATGGATCGTGATTTTGAAGTTTAATGCTGCCTGAGGCGTGCTGATTAGAACCAATAAGTTCAGAATCACGATCTATATCAGGTTTCGATAAATTACCACAACTTATTTTTCTTTATTGGTTTTACAATTAAAATAAGACGAAAAATATTAAAACAAACTGCTTCTTTGAGATGAACTATCATAATAAATTTTAAGGCTAAGTAAAAGTTAAATATACAGAAGATTCGAAATATTCACGTAACTTTTTAATAATACAAAAAAAACGTGGATTGAAAACTAAAATAGTCCAAGAAAATGTGCAAAACCAGGTAAACTTTGTACCAAATTGAAAGACTAGGTAATTTTTATTCAACACCCTGAAAAAGTAGGTATTTAACTTCATGGTATTGAAACGAATTTAGGAACCCAAAGTATTCATGTGTGTTGTTTACACACTTTTAACTAAGTAACAATCTTTCACTGAAACTTATTTAAGAACAATGAAGTATGATGCTATCTTGAAGTTGATGAGTTAAAATAGTTCAAAATGTATGATTCAATACCAAAATAGGCAAAAAATTTATATACAATAAAAATGTTTTCCTTTTTTTCAGGTGAAATAAAACACCGACATGGAAGAGACAGAAACTAGGTAAGAAGTTATTCGCTTTTAAAGGAGACTACTGAGATCTTTATATGGAATGGCTTCAATGCACTGACAATAGAACCAAGTAATTCTTTGGGCACTAGTTAGGCATAAATCATTTAGAATACTCAAACATTTTTTATTCATCCTTACGGCCTAATCTCCGTAGTCTCCTTTGTAGAAATTATACAGCTTTCTTATTTAATTTAGACTTGTGCTGTTTTATACAGATAAATGTCTTATTTTTGTTTACGGAGGTAAACAAGTAAATTTTGCGTGTAATTTATTTAAGAAAGGAAAAATAAATTAATCTTATAATAACTTACTTTAATTAACTGAATATACGGAATTACGATTAATTAGCTAGGATCTACGAATTAATTAATTTCTCCACGTTAAACTTTGTTTAGGAGGAACTGGAGAATGCAGAAAATTGCATTCACTTTTATTTTTACAAAATTTGCCAAATCTGCAAGGCCGGGGGTGGTAAAATGTACAGTGGGCATTGCTACAGTTTGGAAAAAATTTGCACTGTTGCAGTTGTGAAGGTAAAAACGGTCCTAAAATAATAAAGGCGATTATTATTACCATATCTAAAGTTAAAAAGTGCAAACTTCTTACCATTGAGGCAACTCTTTGGCAAATGACTAAAAGGACAGTCCTTTTTGGTACATGAATTTTCAAATTTACAAGGTGGGTGTAAATATAAGCACTTGTCTCCAAATTTACAACGGGGAAAGTTTTTGCAAAGTGTATTGGGATGTAGATATTCGCATTTTTCTCCTTTATTACAAACTGGCCAATATTTACATCTTTCTTTGACTTTTAGAATTGTGGGTTGGTGAACTATAGGCAATGCTTCGGGAATTTCAGTTTTTTTTTCAGCAAAAATTATAGGAGAATTTTTCCTGTTAAGAGATTGAATATTTTCCAATTCAGTTTTTGCAAGTATATTTGGACAACGTAAGGTTTTAATTTCTTTACACTTATTCTTGTTTATTCCATCAAGGGTTATGACGAAGCGGTGATGAAGGGTTGTTTTTGTATGATCACCATCATTTGATAAAGTATCTGTAGGATTCGCCTCCTTATAGGTCGGAACGTATTCATGTTCCTTATCTTCAACTAGTTTACGTTTTAATGGTTTAGGAACATACTTCAGTTTTTCATCATCGCTACTACTAGCATCTCTGTCGTCCATTTGTATTAAAATACTTCGTAATTTACTTTTTGCTGCCTCAGGCAGCTTGCCAGGAATCGCTTTTTTGGCCTTAATAGTTTTCTTGTTACCTTTTTCTGATAGTAAAGGTTTAGGCTACAATATAAACAAAGGTAAAATATACCTTTTAAAATATAATAGGTACACTAAACATTATTTTTCATACTTTTCTGATGAACAGGTGCAAAAATTGTTTATTTAAAATAAGAGGAATAAGTTTAAATTGATAACAGAATGGCTCCATATATTTGAAAATAANTTAAAAACTGAAATTCGAGCTTGAAAATGACGGAAATAGACAGTCGAAACGTCGCTTTTACAATAAAGAAATTTCAAATATAGAACACATCGTTGCTTATTTGGCGAGATTAGAGTCATTTTTTACAATTTGAATTTTGAACACCAACGAAATTAGATTCAATTAATAATTTGATCCAAAAATGACTATAAGAACTTTAAAAAGGCAGTAATCTCGATATTACAGGCAGGCAGAATAATTTTATTTAAATTTGCACTCGCGTGAAGTAAATAAAAATGAAGCAAATAACATTATGGATTATCTGATGCAATATTGATCGCTACAATGTGGTTACTGAACACAATAGGACAATTACGACCCTACATATGGTACGCTTTTAGCTAGGAAATAATTGCATAAACGAATTATCAGAGCTCCCATCTTTCATAGAAAAACATTTATTGTGTAAGCCGGAAATTACGGTTTTCGCGCAAGTAAACTGTAATTATTTTTACATCACTATGGGAATAATATTTTTACAAAAGTATAGATTTTTCAAAGTTCTATATTTGATGATACAGAAGAAAATACATCAAATACTATTGTAAATATGAATCTATCTTTTCTTAAGACAAAGTAGTAGAATAAATTATTTAATGTCATTATTAAATTCTTACTAATAAGAATTTAGGAACTAACTAAACATCAAAAGCAGTGAAGTATTCTATTTTTTTTTGACTGCACATTTTCACGTGGTAGAATACTGTTAGTCTCCATCATTCTGAGATTGAGATTAATATTGAAATATTTTAAAAAATCTGCAGTTTTTTCATGTGTAACTGTATATTCAGCAGGGTTGGTTAGCTTTGTTGTATGGAAACCGATGAAGTAGAATCTCAGATATAACTTATCTGATATGAAATAAACAATCTGCAAATTTAAAAATACTAATATTTTTGCGAGCAGAATAAGCCATATGCAAAAGCTAACATACTAGATATGTAATAATATAATCATGTGACAAAATATATTTTATTTATTGCCATTTAGCAATGCTATACAAAAGTTTCCAATAATCGGCAATTTGTTTCTGCTTATCTACTTTTTGTACCCTTTTTCTTTTCCATATAGATTCTTATAAAACTGCCAAATGTTTTCCTTTTTTTTCACAAATATTTATTTATTTAAAGTTATGATATTCACCCATTCCCCTATTTTTTCTCATATCTTTGTTTCTATTAGAAGGTAATAATTTCTTAGTATATGAAGAAGTTTGATTTGAAAAAACAGAGTAGTTTAATTTTTTAATATGTTTGAAACAATTTATCACTTGTTAAGTTCACATTTTTGTGTTTTATTTGACAACCATTTCTATTTCGTACGTATTAAATAAACGATAAACATAGTGTAAATGTGGGTGTTTTCATTCATACATTTTACACTAGACGAGCAGAAAGAATTAGAATTGTCGTTACAGTGTTTAGTGTGGTGACAGCAAGAATGATGACATGCTTATATTAAAAATTACCAATTTCATGAAAATTTTATGTTCTATGTCACATATCCATTTGTTTTGATTGTGAAAAATACGTCCGCAATTCTTAGAACAAGTCTCTGAAAGTTTTACCAAAATTTTTAACAACTTCCTGGAGCTTTCTCTAAGAATGAATAACTAGTCATTACCACACAACTCACCTTTTCTAGCTAATTTTTTAATGCTGTAACAATATGAACAGTAATTAATTTTAAGGGTTTATTTAAAAAAACCGGTTCGGATTTCAAAAAAACCATTACCACCATTTTAAGCATAGTAAGCCAAATTAATGCTTGCTAAGCTTTTAGACGTAACTCGAGCTTCGGAAGAAAACCATGAGATTTTGCTGCGTATTGTTTTTCGGAAGATTAGAAGGGTCTGCTGACTGAGTAAATAGCACAACAATCTCGAGATGACTACGGCCCTTCAAATTAATGGAAAAAGTCAGTAAGATTGATTTTGCCCTTGACTCGCTTTTGCGTTCAACCAACACGAGCGTCTGGGTGCTCCATGACCTTGACACAGCTCCTTTTTCAGGAAAATTCCTTCCATGCGATTTACTTTTTACATTCGTAAGAGAGACGTTAAAATCGCGTTCGGAAAAATATTAAAAAATTCCGACTCCTTTTGAATTCAGTTGTTGAAAGTAGGTAGATTAAATTACTTAATCGTATCTATATTTGAGTTGGTAAAAAAAAGTTTTAGTTAAACATGGATCAAACACAACAAAATGTTTTCAAATCATTAATTCGGTTTTATTTAAAGACTCGACATATACTTCAACTTTCTAAATCCTTTTCAAAAATAATTTCGTTTGTAACTTTTAAAGCGTAATAAATTTGCATTTGTATATATTGTACACAGGCACAAGTAAAAGTATGCACTTAGGATTAGGAAAAATCATTTAATTAGCTTGCAACCTTTAGATATTTGCAAATAATATGATGAATTCTGATTTATCGTACTTTTATTGATCTAAAATGTTTAGTCATTGATCTTTACTGAACTTTATTTTAAAATTATCATTCTCTTTTTTGTTTTAAACAGTATTTCAGTAAACAATTTAATTTTGGCAAATAAAAAGGTTTTCGTGACATTTTAAACTGAAACGGTATTGAACCTTTAATAATAATTTTCGTTGATGAGTTGTTCAAGATTGTTATATCGTAATTAGAATTCAAATCGAAAACACGCAAACTGATTTTTTCCTTGTTTTAATGGCCCTGATCTTAATCCTTTTATCTTTTTGGAACAAGAAAGTTGATGTTAAATATCGCAGTAAAAAGCAGTACCAGATCAGACTACAACAAGGTCATAGTGGATGTATGTACATACATATGAAATACGATAATTTTCAATAGACTTATGTAATATTAATATTTNGGTACTATATTTAAATAAAAGCCCGCTTAATTGATGTTAATATACAGGGTGTTCAAAAGAGTTATCAAAACATATTTAATTTAAACCAACTAATTTCATGGTTCCATTTTTATATTTAGGAAGTTTCTTTGATTTTAGATAACGATTTGCTTTATATTATTCATTGTTCTGTAGAAGATATTCTTTAGAACGATAGTTCTAGGAAGACAAAGAACTAAACGTTATAGAATAAAAGTTTGAACGATTAAAATGAAACTTTAAGAACTGAAATATTGTTCTATAAATGGTTTATTTAAATTTGTGTTTATATTATCCATAAAAGCAAATAAGTAAAAATGTGCTTCAAATTCATTTTCCGTAAAAGGTACTTACTGCATTTTTGTGATAATCTTGCTAGTTAAAGAAGTGTCAATACTGCGATTTATCAGCGTGTTTCAAATTCCTTTCACTTACAGCAATGCACTATTTTGCAGTGCTAACAAGCAAATAACATAAATATAAGTAAACGTACATTTGAAATGATGAAGTACAATAGAAATATGTATTTTACCTGGAGGTAAACTTGTTAAATGTAATCATACAATCAATACAAAATGAAATAATAACGTAAAAGTTCATTTGTTTTGTGGTATGTTCTATTTAATGTCATTTACAATTCAAAAAAGAGTAAAGGAAATGTCTCATATATACTATTTAATAGCCGCTTCCTCGAAAAATAACATAAAAGAAACAAGAAGTTTAATGAAATGCAATTAAATAAAAAACTAATTTAATTCGATTCTTGATATGACACGTATGGTAGCATCATGAATGTTTGACACTTTTCAAATTTCAGAGTATGCCTGATAATATAAAAAAATTAAGTTGATTTCACTATACTTTCTATATCAAAATCCCTAAAAAAAAAAACAATAAATACAAATCTAAATACAAACACGGCACGGGAACGCCCACCATTAAAAATCGAAGTGGAAAACTTTAAGTTCGATATGTCTTGTACTTCTATATGTAGAGTACCTGACAACAACAAAAAAATAAAATAAAAGTCCTTCCATCATGCGCTTTGAAACAAATTTTCTCGCCAAACGCACCTTAATTTTTCCCCATGGAAATCTTTGAAGACCCTCTAAATGGAATGTAATATTTTAATGGTAAATTGCAATTGCAATTACATCTATATCAAACTGCGGAGTACGTAAGTTACGTTTTAAAAAGGACTTTTTTAGTCTTGTCTGGATATATCTACGTAAATCTTTTTGTCAAGGACTGGATATCTATTTCGAATGGCTACTATAAATAAACCAACTGTTTTTCTTTCCTCATTTTATCATGTGTAAAGACGAAATAAAGTTTCCAAAAAAAATTGCATAACATTAAAGGTTTGTTCATTCTTTGTGAAAAGGTTTTCTTTGTAAAATTAATTCATAGTTCAGATGCGAAGAGTGTATTGAAGCGTAAACAGATGTATTGTTTGTCAACCGAAATTGTTTGTCAACAAAAGAAAATGTTATATAATTTTATTTATTCCAATATTCTCTTGGCATTTTGATTAAGATTCATTGTTTGCAACAATTTTGATTTTACTGAATTATTTTATGTATTACAAGTAATTTTTTAGAAGGATTTGTAGTTCACTTTTGATTTCATGATTCTTTTTATGAACTTATTTAGGTACATTAATTTTGGAGCAGCACTTAAACTGAATAAGTAACACGAAAAATAAATTAACATGTTATCTAATTTTTGCCTAAAATTTTAAAATTAGTTTATGAATTAACATTCTGCACGATTTTGTTAAAGTTTCTCCTACCCATATTAAGATAATATTTCTTAACTTGCTTTTGAAACAGTTTTTAAAATTTTACATTGTATCTTCTTAATTCTTTACATAACGAAAGTTGATATTTTGTAATATTATACTATGTAATGGATTGTAATTAACTAGCTTTTGCGGGTTGATGTTGACGTTTGGCGTTTTTGCTTTCTATATTTTATTTGTGCAAAAAATCAATGTAATTTAATATAAAAATTTACTACTTAACAACTTTTCCAGTGGATTATTATTTCTTTGTTGATGGGCAGTAAAAAGTGTTTTTATATTGTATAATTTAAACACAATTAATGTATTTAGATTTAGTTCACCAAACATCATTCCAAAATTGGTGACCTATCTTCCTATTTCTGAATTTATTAATCGAATTCGCTATTGAGATGTGCTTGAAAGTTCGAAATTTTGTTGGGATAATTGTATAAACTAAGTAGTTAATTGAATTTTTCATGTGTCGTTGATTTTCTTTCCTATTTCGAATCTAAAGTGAAAGAATCTAGGGCAATCTTGCGTAAATTGTGCTTAAAGTGTCTGCACGCAGGCATATTTTACCACTAACAAGATCTTAAAATACTGGTACACGTTCTCAGGAATATGCTCTCTAGGACGATAGTTATCCTTCTTATAATCGATGGATTGAGCAATTTGTTTTCTTCATGAGGTTTTATATAAAATAGGATGCTAGAAATGAATTTGTTTCAGTTCATCATTCTTTATTAACGGTGCAGTTTCTTATACATTAAACTGCCATGAATATTTTGGTAGGTGTAGTATTACTTGTACTAATCAGTTTTTTTTAATATTTTAAGTGTATTTGAATTTTTAGACATCAACCATTATTTAATCTACCTGTATTGTTTAATAATCATTGGCATTAAGTTATCCTTTTTAAGCTATTTAAAGAAATAATCAGTAGTTCTAATACTAACGTCATTTTTTCGTACCAATGTGATAATAGGATTTACATTAGATGCACTTGCAGTAATTTATAGGTTTACGATTTCAAATTATATTAAAAATCTATATAATCAATATCTTACAATTACTTGAAATCAATCATTTATTTAGTTTTTTTTAATGTAAATAAAAGTAATGTACATGCAGAAGTGTAACAGGGTGATTAAAATTCACAAAACAATTGGAAATGAATTCACCAACATTATGTAACCATTGTTCAATATAGGTTTTCATTTCAACCTCAAAAATTTCCTTTTTTTTAATTACAGTTGAAAGATTACAAGATCCATGTAAGAAAATTACTTTATTGAGTAACTAGAAAGTTGTATCTAGTTAAAAAGTACCAAAAATAGTGATTACGTGGAATATTACATTTATTTATTTTTACATATTTTCACTTTTGCAAAATATATTTTGTAACAACACACTAAAATTGTGGTACGCTTCGATAGAAACAATCTAATATTGCTATATTGAAGAGACATTAGAAATAAAACTGTACATAACACCTTTGCACAGGAGTTTTCACCACTTTGGTCATTGCTAAAAATATCTTAAGTTCCTGTTTATCCCAAAGGTGTACGTGAAATTCTTTAATTAAGTTATATTTAACCAACTTCCTGTGATTAGTTTCGAAACCGGAAGGTGATGGATAAATTCTAGTTTTTTTGATCAACTTTCTCTTGTATTTACTTCGTTAAAATTGATGGTTTTCAAACTTTTTTAAATCGGAAGTTACAATCAAAGCAATTTACCGATTATATAATATCACAGGAACTCCAATATAACCACATATACTTAGGATACCTTTTCAAAAGGACAACGTGAGGCTTTCTCTTATTAAAACGTTCAAATACCAAAATTACGAAATTGTTGCTTATTGTTTGATTTAGTCAGCACGTAATTGTTCTTAACTTATTGTTAGATTTGAAAGATTTACATGCCCTATATATGTTGTACGTTATTTATGTTATGGTAGAACTTTAGTATATTTTGACATTTTAATTTTCATTGCAGGTTGTTGTGAGTGCCCTTTTGGCAGCTGTGTCTGCAGATCCGGGCATATTTGCGCCCTTACCAGCTCCAACAATTATCAAGTCCTTTTCAGCTCCTATAATAGCCGCTCCTCCAATTATTAAAGCTCCCATAATTGCTCCTGCTCCTATATATTTTCCACCCCCATTAATCGCGCCACTTCCCATATTTAAAGCAGTTGCTGCTCCTATAATAAGTTCTCCACCGATTATTAAAACTATTGCACTTCCTGCACCAATTATCAAGGTGATTACAGTTTTGAATGTTAAAATGATAATAATTATTTAATCATAATTAACACAGTTAGATATTTAAGCTACAATTTGAAAATGGAAATAAGATTTACTAACAGATATTAGTTGTTTGCTTTTCATGGAGATAAGTTTAAAAACGTTTTCTTACAGACTGTAATTGCATCTCCACCTATTCTACCTTTTCATGGTTATCACCACGGTTAAAATAGAGAAAATATGAAAAAGTTCAAACATATATGTTAACCAGGCTATTGAAAAATGCTGAACAAAGTGACGGAGTTAGATATGAAACGAATTTAAATCTACATTTGATCCTTACTTCAAAGAAACTGTTAATCTTGCACACTTCTTAAAATTGTTAATTTTCTTAAGAAACTTACAAAGTGGTACATTAAACTAAAACGGAAACTAGCTCGGCTAATAAACTCTGTAGCTTATTTCTACATTAAGGCTTTTGTACTTATCGTTTAAAAGTAGTGAAAATATAAATATTCACTAAATTGAAATAAAAAATATTCACCAGTTAGAAATATTGCAGTTTATAATTTTACCTTTCGTTGTTTTATTACGAGTACATACTATAGGTAGCTGCTTAATGTTTTACAAAAAAAAATTTTAATTCAGTCAATGAACTTTGTGTAAGCAGATTTTTCAAAAAAGTGAGAATTTTGTAGTAACAGCTCAAAATTAATAACAAAGTCAACAAATTAAAGAGCACATTTTTGCTGCAACCTGAAGTATTAAGTATCTAGTCAGATGCCTGCACGTTTTGCGAATTTGGTGTTAACAAATCTTACTTTGATTCACTGATAATTCTCATTTTTAATTATTAATTGCTCAATAATTATTACGAATAAATGAAAATGGAAAAATTTTCTTAGAATCCGGTAATATATTTTTTTCTAATTATAAATAAAATATTTTTGATGGATAAAAAAAATAGCTGGCGTTCTTGTCTTTTTTTAATCTGTTATATGTAACAGAAATTTCACCTTTACTTTTTCTTTAGTTTGTGTTCTAAATATGTTTACAGAACGTGAAATAGATTGTGATCCTTGAGGTCCCGTGAAACGTTTCCTATTATTCACTGTCCTTTTACGTACAGTACCTACATAAAGATAAATCGTTAATGATAATCAGAGTTGTCGATGTTGTGTCGTCAGGCATACTAATGATTTTTTCCTGTAAGTGTAGATATTCATGTGTGTTCATAAAAACACATTGTGGAAGGACACTCACTGATGGCTGTAATCAATAAAATTCTATTTACCCAGATAATCGTGCATGTACATAAAAGTAAGCATAAACGAAGATACACTATGTAAAAGTCCACAATTCTTAGCTTAGAGCTATTTCCAATAAAATTAAATATTGAAAAACAGTGTTCGTGAGCACTATGATCTCTCTCTGTGAATTATCTTCAATTTCCATTGAAATTTTTAAAACTACAAGTGGAAATAATTCTAAAAGAAAGAATAATGTTTAGAAACTGATAAGAGTAAACTATAGGAACTGAAATATACGGGCAATAAATCTTAATTATTAATGTATATTTGAGATTTATTGTTCCTCACAATAACTACCTACTTATGAATACTGAATGACAGATAAATCGGAAAGTTGAAGGAGTATGTAATCAAAATTTTATATTTTGTTAAATATTCAATTAATGATTATGTCACATCTGTATGTTTGCATTTTTTTTGGAGTTCCGCTCGGAATAACGTAGAAACGAACCTTTGTACGTAAATTATCGATAGCGATTACTCATGTTATCAAATTAAAATTTAGGGACATACTTTAAGTAAATATACATATCCTTTAATCTTTCGTGCAATAGGCACCCACAAAGGTATATGAGGATTGAGTATTCGAAGATACTCTACTCATGTATTCCTCAAATTTCGATTTTTTTTAATAAAATAAAAAATGATATATAAAATAAATAAAAGATCGCTCTGTTGTATATCGCTTTGAAGAATAATATTTAACAATTTATAATTGAACAGGATCATCGTATTGGGAAAACAAAATTGAAAAACCAATTAGGCCATTGTTTTATAATTGTTTTCCAGAGCTTGATAAAGTTTCAACAAATAGAGACAAAACGTCGCGAATAAACAATGGTCTAATTGGTTTTCAATTTTGTTTTCCCAATACTCAGGATCCTGTTCAATTATTGCATAAAAAAGGGAAGTGATTTCATCATGAATAACAATTTATTTTGATGCAGCAAATTTTAAAATTATAAAACATAAAGTGTGCTTGATTCGGTGCGTAATCCAGATTTTTATGACTATCCTTATTAATATTTCATTTCATTAAAATACAGTTGATAGAATGTAATTATAAATTTAAATTAGCCGAAATACGTGTTGCTTTCTTGATGTTCTTTTCGTGGTAATTTTTGTAAATACTAACCTGTCTTAGTTTACACTTTATAAAAATCGTTACCTTTTTATTAACACTGATTTGTAATTTTCTAATACGTTTTTACTTGACAGTTGATTGTAAAAAAAAATTCAAAAGCTAAATGCTATTAATCAAACAATTGCTGATACACCTATCAAATAAACCACCTACGTAGTAGTACAGCTATTATTTGAAGGTTGCAATTTAATTTATTTTAAAATCGACTACAAAAACGAAACTATCTTTTTTAAAATAGTACATAGGTAGGTAGAGCATATAATTGTTTCTGTTGCTGTGTAATTTATCTAGTTTTACTCATGCACCATCGAGTTGCATTTGATTAAAATATAGTTTTAAAACGTATGTTTAAATGCAGCTTAACAAACCAGGTAGGTAATGAGTTTAATTTTTAAATGGATACCTAACATATGTGTCAGAACGAATTAAGCACATCTCATCTAATTTGAAATAATCAATATGCAAAAAGCATCGATTTATTATGTTCTCTAATGATAATAAACCTCTACAACAAACGATAAAGTGACGGGAAACTTGGTAGGTAGACAGTGTTCAACCTTTACCGTTAAGGATTTGACTGTCATGGTCAGTGCGCTCCGGGGTTGAAAAATATGAAAATTAGTTTTACCCCTACAGCGAGGTTGAAATGAGTGAAAATTTAAAAACCGATATCGCCAGTGTCTACACTGTAACTGGTGAACAAGGTAATAAATAATAGAATTAGTAGTCTTTCTACGAGCGCAAATTATAAGGATCGTCAATACTGATTAAATAATAACATTGCTTAATATTTCATAAAATATTTTAGTTTTTATAAAGTTACATAAAATGAAATTTCTTAGAAACCAAAGCGGAAATAGAAATTGCGTTATTTAACTTTAAATAAATTCCTTCAGACTTTTCGAATTGTTTTAAAACTTCCCTTAAATAAATATTATAAACGTACATAGATGGACACATAAGTACATGTATTAAGTAATTTTAAATAATCACGGTTGAATTAAGTTTACAAAAAAGAAAAACCACAATTACAAAACAACTTAATGATAATTTATTATATAGTTTCATTTTGATTTTTGTTTCAGAGTTTGGTAGTGAAAGTAAAATAGCAGGTCATAGTTTTAACAATTTAGTTCCGGTGTCATCAAGAGGTTCATTGTAAGGATAAAATATTTAACTTGATATTTTTCAAAATTCTTAGTTTCGCTTTTTATATATATTTTCTTAAGAGTGTGAATTTTATTTTCTTTCTATTTAAGTGATCCTAATGTTTTCTTTCAGATTTGAAAAAAGGAATACTTACAAAAAATTTATCGTACTTTTAATAGCATTTGTTATAATTCTTCTACTGGCATTTGTAATACTTTTAGTTTTATGTAAGTATCAATATTGGGCCTGTCTATATCGGTTATGATAATACAATTTCGTTTAATCTAGGGATTGTATAGTGTCCAGCCATTATGTAAAATATCTACTCACTTTTGATAAAGTGATAATTGGCACAGAATCAATCTTAATCATATTAACTAGGTGTTTTATACAAAATCTTGGAAGACTTGGATAAAGTAATAAACAAGTATAAGTGAAAATAATAAATTTTTATTTCAATTTGCTTTAAGCATAACTATATGAGTAGCAGCAATTGTTGTTATTTTAAATAGTAACAGTTATGTTACGGTAAATATGATTAATCGGTTTGTTTGCATAATTCCAGAGTCGTAATGGTATAAATGTGATAAAAGTCATCGTGTATGCCGTAACAAAGATCAACATGTGACATTATGCCCATGTTCAGGGGGCAGGGGTATTAAAGAAACTCCAGTCTGTCATAAATCTATTACTTATTAGTTTATTCAAGTCTTCCAAGATATTATATAAAATATCTAGTTAATGTGATTAATTCTGTCAATTATCACTTTGTCAAAATTGAGTAGATATTATACATAATGGCTGGACAGTATATATAATATCTGAATTTATTACTTTCGCTGCGACATAGATACAAACTTTGAAGGAAATGACTTTTTGCCTTTTCAGTTTATTATTCAAGAAATACTTATATTGCTAGTAAAGTAGACACGGTTTGAACTTTTTACTGAAATAATATTGAAAAAAGTAAGAAAAACCATGCATTCATCTCTGTCTGTTAAAAATGTTTTTTTTTTATCATTTATGTTTTTCTTTGTAATCTACTGCACATTACGAAATATTCTAAATAAATTTACAATGGATTCAACTAATAACGATCTCGGTTGTGACGTCGTCCTTCATAGTAATATAGGGCTTCGTCTCTTGTTCTCGCACTACTTTGTAAGAACTGAATTATTTTACACTTTTTTAAGACATCCTCAATGGATCCTATAATAATTATTCAATGTGTACCTCGGACGAATGTTTGCGCTCGGCTGCAAACTTGAAATTATCGATGAATCTTGCTATTGATCCGTGCGAAGACTTTTACAAATTCACTTGCGGGAGATGGAGCAAAGAACATCCAAATCATGGTTGGTTTTCGCATTATTCCAGTTTTGAAACAGTGGATGAGCATATAGCTTTCGCTACTATGCGGTTTTTTAAATCAAACGAATCGGACAATGAACCGTTGCCTGTAAAACAAAGCAGGTATCTCTACAAATCATGTATGGATACAGGTAAAAAAAATAATCACCACTCAAATTTGGCAGTTCAAATAGTAAAAGTACCTACCAATTAATTTTATTTATTAAAAACCTAAGACTAAAAAATAATAAATTAAACAGTTTTACAATTTATGGTAATTAAGCATTTTATATTAAACGGTATATGAAAGCTTTATTAATAATGAATCAGGTAAAAAAAACCGAAGAGAGAACGAAAAGTTTTTTATTTTGATTGTCGCGAGAGCCTTTCTAAAGGAAAAAAATGGAATCTAGTTAATTCTTTACTTATGTTACAATTTTTAGTAGGTATGACTTTCGGTTCGCTTCTTTGAGCAATTTTTATTCCTTGCGTGTCTGGATGGTTTTTGAGCTATGTAACTATGATTATCAAGTACGGCATTTAAAAAAGTTGAATTGAAATTTTCAATGCTCGTATATTTTGCAGATTCTGCCAACAAACTTGGTTATAGTGTAATATATGATTATCTCAAAATAGTCGGACTACCATTAATACCATCGCTTTTTGAATCAGAAAGTAATGAAACTTACAAATTTGATTGGATCATTACCGAAGCAAAAATAAGGAAAACGTTTTCTATGGACACATTAATAGGCTTTACAGTAGATGCTAATATTTATAATCGTAATGAAACTGTGATATATATTGGTAGACCATCAATTTCAAGTCAGTTGCCACGGTAAGTTATCGCCTTATTACAGAATGATAACAAGGAACGAAATATCGGAAAACCAAATGACGTAAATAATTAAATTGAAACTTATGAATGCGAGAACTGTTAGGAAATTGCGTTCAAGTAGTAGTAAAAAAAGTAAAAAATATATTAGTATGGTGTTTTTTTAGGTACATTAGAAAAAAAGAGAAGGTTTTACATAGAAATAGAAGATCTCATATTGAAGGCGACTTAGGAGATGAGGCTTTTAATGATGAAAATTATCGAAGAAGTACTTTATTTGAAACGGCGAAAATTGTAACAAAGAGTGTTGTGCAAAATATAAGTGTACTAAGTACAACTGATTCACAAATAGAAGATGCTGCGGAATTGTTGTGGAGTTTGAAGCATGAGCTCGATGAAGTAAGCCATTTCTTCTTTAATACAGGCGTCTAATAAAATCTATACCAAATTATTTTAATTATTAGTGACGTATTATTTGATGGACATTTTATGCTTCAATTTTCACGAGTTGCTTTTCTTGGACATTTTGTTGATATGTGCGATGCTAACTTTCGAGTTTTATTACCATAAGATTTACAAAAATTAATTCTTCAAAGCAATGAAAATCTGAACAAAAATACTTCATTGGATAAATAAATAATTATTGCAAATGCCTTTCTTTACTCCTGTTTCTGCTTCCAGTACATCTGTAACTAGCTCTTCGCTACTATGCTCACTCTTTTCTTTCATAGCGCCCTTTACTTTCTTTCTAATATTTCCTCATTTTTAGCCTTTCATTTCATCCCCCTACAGCACCATATCTCAAACGCTTTTAAAATTTTTTTTCCGTTGCGCTTAGCTTTGACTTTTCGCACCCGTACAGAGCCGTGCTGTAAACATACGTTTTTACGGCTTTTCTATTTTGATTTCCCCGGACTTCTTATTAGATGAAGAAAATAGGAAACCTCTTCTAGTTTTTTGTCTCTAATTTTTATATTAGTTGCTACCGCCTTACAGATACAAATAATCAAATTTGTTTGATTATTTTATGCAGTTAAATGAACACAATTACACCGAAGATGAAAACCTTGATTACGAATCTTTTAAAGTCGACGAGCTCCAAAAGCTGACTGAGAATTGCGTAGCTGCTGATAAAAGAAATTTAGTGAAAGATGTATGGAGAAAGTATTTGACAACACTATTTGACGATGTTCAAAACGTGACATTAGATTTAGATGGAAATACTCTCTTATATGTGTCTTACTTAGAAATGGATTACTTATGTGACATAATGTCTTTTATTACAAATACTTCAGACAGAGCGCTAGAGTATGTATATTGGTGGACAATTGTGGACAATATGATTGGCAGCACCACCTCTGATATAGCAGAATCACTTTGGAGTTTGGCTAGTGAATATGATAACGAATCAGTTGAAAGACCTAGGTGAGTTATTCTCAATACAATTCTATTGACTGTCTCATTGTCTGAAGAATTGGAGAAAACTTAAAAGGGAAAGCAAATTAATTTTTTTTCCTAGATTATGTAAGAGCATTAATTTTTTTCGTGGGATAGAACTAATATGTCGAAATAATCATCTGATATTAGTTTATTTCATATATTTTCTTTTATTTTGATATTAAGGAATAGCAGAGAAAAATTTTATTGCATTTACTGGATATTTTTTAATTAATTCAGATTAAAAATTCATTCGTAATTTCTTATTTCGAGTGACAAAAAAATTGTTTCACAATTTATTGTTTTAGATCAATAGACTGTGCGGCGCTGACGGTTAATTATATGGGTGTAGCCGTTAGTTATGGTATAGCTGATATAGCTGCGTTAAATTTTTCTATTCCAAAAGTAAGAGATATGTATATTATTAGCATTTGCAGTATATTTATTTATAACTAGATTTTACATGCGAATAAAAAATTGGTAAAGTTGACCTATTCGGATATAAACTTTCGGAAAGTTGACCTTCTCGGATATAAACTTGGGTAAACTTGACGATTTCGGATATAAACTTTGGTAAAGTTGACCTTTTCGGATATAAACTTTCGGAAAGTTGACGTTTTCGAATATAAACTTTGGTACAGCTGACTTTTTCGGATGTAAACTTTGGCAGTGTTGGCCTTTTGTGATTGCGTCAACTCACGTTAATACGAAATTATTTTTGGTTTGCTCTTGTTTCATATATCTTCTAGTTTCGTATCTTACGCGAAAAATTATCGCTACATTGTATTTGTATTATCTATTTACTTTAATTTTGTCAAAAAAACAGTAAATTAAAACCTAGAACAAAACTTCTTTCTAGCGGTAGCTTTGAAAAATTCTTAAATATGTTTTTATACCAAGTTTGAAGTTAATGCGCCCATGTAATACGGTTTTCCACAAAAAATGTGTAGTGCCAGTTTCACCCCTTTAGGTGTTTATTTTCGAAAAATCCTTTCCTAGCGCTCCTCTACACACTATAACGAACACATTATCCAAATTGCATCTTTCCATTTAAATTATGCGTTGTTTTTTGAAAAATAAGAATTGGTTTACCTTATTCCTTGCATCAAATAGAATTTTTGGCGAAAATTATTTCTTTAGTTCTTTAAAAATATTTAACCTTTGTACTTAAAATCCATCATGATTGAAAAGTAACCGTTATGCCATGTCTCAGGTGGATCGAATGATAAACGATATTAAAAATGCTTTTCTTGAACGCGTAAGGGAAATAACATGGATGGATGAAAAAACTAAAAGAGCGACTCTAGAAAAAAGTAGAGAAATGGTAAGCTTCATTGGCTATCCAAAATGGTTTTTAAAGAACGGCACTCTCGAAGAATACTATGGAAATGTAAGAGCATTGTTAATATATCGATTGTACATTTTAATAGGCATTTAAAATGAAATAATTCGGGAAGGTGTGGCTTTAATTACATCTTTTTCGAAGACTTTTAGGTGGTCTATATTTGGGATTGCAACATTGTCTTACGTCGAATGCAGCTATTTTTTCGACTTAAAATCAGTAATGAACAAAAAGATGTAAAGCAATTAGCTCAAATTGCTTGTTCAAAATTGCAGTTATAGCTGTTAGTTTCGGTCTTTTCTGTTTTATAAATTATAGAAGTACCGAAACGAATTTAGTTACACTTTTTTGTTGTTAATTCATATACATGATCAGCCATTCAATCACATACTTTCATTACGTCGCCGTTGCAAATTGCAAATTATTAATTTTGTGATTGCATGTTGGCTTTTTAGATAACTATTCGAGAGGACACGTATTTGGAAAATATGATGAATATAATAAAACTGTATACCCCTTATAGATTATCGCAACTTGGTAAAGAAAGTATAAGACAGTGGAGGACGGATCCGATAACTGTGAATGCCTACAACTATTTTTCAGACAATTCTATTAGTAAGCAAACAAATTTTCAAGTGTATCCCATTTTTTATAAGGTGATATTTGTTTTAGCTGTTCCGATGGCAATTTTAACATTTCCTTTTTACAATTTAGGTTTAGAGTAAGTCAATTAATTCTAATAGTTAATAACTTTAAATAAATATTGACACTTTAGGGTGCTAAACTATGGAGCCATTGGGACCATTTTGGGTCATGAACTTACACATGGTTTTGATATTACAGGTACTTTTAAATATTAAAATTTAGCGTAAAATAGAAAGGTGATGTATTTTTAAATTCATTTCAACAAACATAACAATTAAGAAAGAAAGTACAGAAACTCAATTGTATTAAATGCAAGCTAATTCTGTTAAAAATTTTCTTTGTTTTATATATGTTACCCGAAATGTATAAAATCTAGGAATTGTATACAATTCCGACGCTACTTAGGAAATGTATAAAATATTGTTTCAAAGATTTTTTAATACACACATATCTTGGGAAATGTTTACATTTCCTAGGAATTGTATGAAATATCGATATTGTACTAGGAAATATATAAAACTTATGCTTTGTATGAATAAAATACTCTAACATATCAGTCCGCATCCGGCGTGCAGGGACTAAACTTGAATCTCTCATAAATCTACCTAACCAAACAATGACATCACCAATGCATATGCATTTGTAGTATGTTGTACATTTCCTAGTGTAATATCGGAATTTCATACAATTCCTAGGAAATGTATACATTTTCCAAGATATGTGTGTATTAAAAAATCTTTGAAACAATATTTTAAACATTTTCTAACTAGCTTTGGAATTGTATACATTTCCTAGGAATTCCTACAATTCCGGTAATATATATGTATATATTTAAAAAATATAATTACGGAATTCCAATAGCACTATATAAATTTAAAGATGAAAACTATTATTGTCCTGATTGTCATGTTATGGTTATTGTGCTAGTTTACTGAATTATTAATTTAATTAAATTTCCGTTCGTTGTATGTAAACTAAATTCTAATAGGAGGGTGGTTTATTTAAGGAAGGAAATTTGACAAGTATGGTAATTATAAGCAGTGGTGGAGTGAAAATACAATTGAGGCATTTGTAAAAAAGACCGATTGCTTTGTTAAACAATACGACAACTTTACAGTGCCATCTTTAACGAAAAGGGTACGATAAATTCAATTATTTTATAAGAATTTGCCCTCTTTGGCTGAAAATGGTTTAACAGAGGTATGGTGTAAAGTAAGGTAGTAAGAGCTGAATTAAAACTTACCACGGGATTTTGATTAAAGGCTTTGAGAATATGTAATTCAATGGCTTTACCTAAATGCATAGAATAACCTTATACCTAGGCCAAAATTCAAAATTCAACTTTTTCCTGTTTTAGTTAAATCCTTTAGATGTTCTCTCATTTAATGTACATTGTGTAAAAGATAATCTAAATCGATCTATTCTTGTCATTTACTGGCAAACTAATACACTTTTATGCATCAGATATTGCTTGAAGGTTTAGGCGTAGATATATGGTAGTAATGAACAAAGCAAGGCCAAGACCAAGCCTGTTCTAGTCTTGGGCTTACTTATTAAGTCTTGGTCTTACTCCTGCTCAAATACTTCTAGTATTGGCCTTGGTATTGGTCTTACTGATATAGTCTCGGCCTTGGTCTTGCGTGTTAAGTCTTGGTCCTGTTCAGTTAATCTGATGCTTACGTTTTTTTAATTATTCTTCGAAGCGCAAAATTTTTTATTTACAGACACAATAATTGTCTTAAATACTGAATTTTTTTGTGGTACCTGCGAGCTTGTTATAACCTTTAATGAAAATAGTGTGAGGACATTCTAGTTTACATTTTTGCTTGAAATCGTTTAACTCATAAATCCATCGAATGTGATAGTTTCATTTGCGTATTTTGTCTTGGACTTACATATTCGGCCTTGGTTTTAGTCTTGGTTTTGTTTGTTCGATCTTGAACTTGGTCTTGCTAGTATAGACAGTTTTTAGCATAAGCAAGATCAAGACTGTTAGACCACAACCAATTTTATTCATCACGAATATATTATACTTTTGTTATGAATAGGTCAGTGGATATAGAACACTGGCAGAGAATTTAGCCGATAATGGAGGCTTTCACCATGCCTATTGGGCATACCAAAGACACAAGGCAAACCATTTGTCTGAGAAAATATTGCCTGGTTTTCAACATTTTTCCGAAAATCAACTATTTTTCATTGCCTACGGAAGTGTAAGTTTGAAAGCTTGCCTCAAATTACGTAGAGAATTAATACCTAAATTTTAAAATGTTTTTTTAATAACTGTAGATTTGGTGCGAGGAATTCAATGCCAATGCAATAAAAAAGCAAATAGAGACAGACGAACATTCTCCTAATTATATAAGGGTTATGGCTACTTTACAAAACTCCAAAGAATTTGCAGAAGCTTTCAACTGCCCCCTTGGAAGTAAAATGAATCCCGCTCAGGAAAAATGTAGAGTTTGGTGATATCATGTTATGTTACTGATCTACTACATTATGAGTTTATTTTTCATTCTAGTCAATTGAACCAAAATTTACAAACATTAAAAAAAATGTTTTTAAATCAATTAGGACAATAAAGCTGTAAAAGGATGAAGTTTCATATTTTAATTAACCATACTAGTTGTTGCCCCCTATCAGTTACTGTGAGCTCGAAACTGTTACCACTATTGCTTCGAGTGATCGAAATTCACTTATGTGAACAATTTCTTTAATCAATTTTTTTTGTGTTAAAAATTGTTTAAAAATAAAACATAAAGGAATTGTTTGTAAATAGGTATGCAACACATCGTACACTTCAGCATACGAAATTGCTGATACTAACCACGTAATACTATTTTGCCCTGTGCTGATAGCACTCATAATTTCTTTAATATTTTTAAATGATCTTTAACAAGTATTGTGTTCGGGGCTGGCAGAACACGCTAACCTCCTACCCCTTTTGCTTTAATTTTTAGTAGTGTATACATTTCCAAAAACTTTTCGTGTGGGTAATTACCCATATGGGTAGTGGTACCCATGCCCTTCTGCCGGCCCTGATTATGTTTGAGTAAATTTATGAAAAGCATGAAAATCTTGAGAATGAAATGTTATAGCATTAAAATGCCACAACTGTTTAATGAAGTTGTTAGTTGTGGTTTCAAGACGATCATGGTAAGAAAATCGAGTCATCCAAGTATTGTTCTACATCAAAGTTTTTTTATGTCTTCTTGTCGGCGGCGATATAAAATTATTAAGATTTTTGTTTCTGTTTTATGAAAATATGGGAGACAGTATAAAATCAGTGAAACATCATTTATTCTTAAGCAATTTGAAACGGTATTGGGCTTTAAGTCACCTAAAACCCTAACAAAAGCATATATTTTAAGTTCCCAAAAGGGCAAACAATGATGCAAGGTCATATTTAAGCTTTTCATATTCGTCCGGTTTCCTATAGGTATTGGACAGACTTAACTTTAAATTCAGATGCTCTTAACAAACGAAACTAAGAATGTTAAGAAAGAAATTCTTGATGAATACTTGCATTCATTATGAAAATTAATTGAAATTGGAAACGATATAAAAATGCTATTGCTACTTTTCTTATCAACTGTATCTCGTAATAGAGTTAAGGATGAAATTGTTTTATATTGTATAAAGAATATCAGGTAAGGTACGAGGAAATGAAAATGTTGGTTATACCATTGTGAAATCGCATTTTATTGTACTTGTAGTAGGTAAGTACCTACACCTGAAAAAGATGAAACTAAAAACAGCCACAAAATTATGATCTCACGTAATATCACAAATAGTACGTTTTACGGTGATTTATTTTCTTTTCATATAGCTGAAAATGTGAAAAAGTGACACAAACTTAATCCATAATGAGGCATAAATTTTAGAGACTTGGATTTACTTTATTTTTAGCGGAACAATTTTCTTTTACGGTTTAGATAGTTATTAACAAGAGTACAATATGAAACTTTAGTAAATAGTTTTTAATGCCCAATAATTTTTCTACACTTTTTATAATTACGACCAGTTTTACAGTGCACAGTACAGTACCTGCGTTTAAACGCTAATGCTAAAATATAATTTTATCTTCTACATTCTGTTAGACTTTAAAATCATTGAAAGCACATTAGTATTTAAATCAATAAAAAAGGATATACGTATACCTATGCAGACCTTTCGCAAAATTTTTGACAAAATTCAATAAAACTTTCACCGCGAACTTTTACTAAGAAAAGTATGTTAGACGATTGTTGTATCGCTAAAGATTATTATGCAACAATGCAAAAATTTTAAAGATCTTTTTTCTATTTGATTTACTCAGTAATGGTTGTTGCATTGAATCCATGCCAACAGAGAGTCATTATATCTAATTGGTGATTTCTTTTTATTAAAAAAAGGAATCTAGAAATAATGTTGATACTTGTATTGTATTAAAAACTATTACTTTGCGATATGGTTGTTTTATTCCGAATGTAAGTAACGCCAGAGCCGTTAACAATGCCTCTGTTCGTTGTGTCTGTTATGCTTCGATTGATTTTGTGTGTTAATTACAGATGTGCAAAATGGTTTTTTAAAAGTATTTAAGTAGAAAATGCAAATGCCTTTTTGATTTGTTATTTCAAATGTAAAATACAAAATAGATCTTTTGTATTTTAAATGCTACATATTTTCAAAATACTTTTTTCAAATAAATACTTTTTTGTTGTAGGTACATATTTAATTTTCTATATTTACATAAAAATAAAATATTTTTTAACAAAACCTTGCAGGCATTTGTTCATTTTTTAAATATTGGAGTTTTTTCTAGACTAATCAGCAGCTGGGAAGATTGAGTATGATTTATATTATTCTGTTTGAAGTGATTGAGATATATTTTATCGTTTCTTCAGTTCCTTATTTGCCCTTGTCACTCTTTAATTGGAAAAAAGACTTAAATAGTTTGTTTAGCGTGAAAGATCAGAGCGAAAATAGGGTTGCAAACAATTTTATTGATGTAAAATCAACATCAATCATTTTATATCAAAATACTTACAACCCCATTTTGTTTCCGATCTTTTACATATTGCAATAAGAGAAAAAATGGAATCCATAGTTTCTTTAGCTTTCGGTTCATCTAATAAGTAAAGTTTTTCGAATCGTGGATTATAAGCATTTATTAGCATACCACAATATCTTGCAGTTTTCGATTTCGTAGCTGACGTATTTCAATTCCATATTGTTTTGCGGACTGTTTTGTCGTAATTCATAGAATTTCGTAGTTATTTGCTAAAGGTACGATAAGTGGTGATTTGGCAGGTGCTGATATCAATTTGGAACTTCAAAATTCCATGGACCAAGATATTGAACCCGGAAAACAATATCGATCCAATATTTTAGATTATCCGTATTCAAGGAGTTTAGAATTTTTTGGGCTCTCTTTAGTTAAATAATTAGAAGGCATTTATGTCTCTTTGTCCGCTTTTCAAGGTTCTAATACTTTCATTAGTCACTGTCACTTTTATTCATTATTTTGTATGATGTTTGATAGATGATACTAGCAGAACTTTTAACGACAAAAATGTATAAATAGAAAATAGATTCGGGAAAGTATTTTAATAAAATACAAAATGCGTTTTTCATAAAAGGATTTAAATGCAAGATAAAAATAGGTATTTCTTATTTTGTATTTACATTTTAAATACAAGTATTTCTAATAAATCACATCTCTGGTGTTAACCCAGGCAACAACATCAACCTAGCATAAATAAAAGGCCGGCATTCAGGGGCGGCAGATCACTTTAGTATTTTTTGGCATAAGAATGAGTCCGTCTTGGGCGCTAGTAACGGATGTTACGCTACTGGAACTTTTATCTAAGTGTAACATATTCTCTTATAGTGGTGAATACGGTTTTAGCAACGCAATTTTTAAAATTAGAAATAAGGTCTGCGAAGATTAGCGCAATATAGGAAAGAGTGGAGTTACGAGTGTAACCAGTCTTAGGACTGACGACCTTATGATGACGAAGGTCTGCCTGATGGCCAAAGTGAGCTTTTGCTAGAATGCGGAAGTCTGCACTGTGATTGCAGTATCTATACTCCCTTTTTTTCGTCGAAATTGTATACGTCTATATTATTTATCTTACAGATATTTGGGGTTACAATTGGTTACAAAGAAAGATAAACAAACTTTAAAATCGACGACAGTTTTGCAGTATTTAGTACTTTTGTACAGTACTGTACCTTCATGGCAGTTAATTAACCTTTTTTTTTGTTACAATTGACACATAGTTCATTGTCAGCAGAATTAATTTGTCTCGATTTCCAATGAACGAACGGATCAACAAATTCTCACAGCTTTTTACAGAATTGTTTAATTAGCAATAGAGTTTTTCTCTGGAAAGACATACATGACACACGGGGCACCTTGGAGTTTTTAAAATGGTTGCGTTATTTCACATATATTCATTCATATAGAGATAAGTCTTCTTTATTCTAAAAATTGTATTGGTTTATAGTTTTCTCAATTTTAATATATTTCTTTAATTGATTGAGGTACCTACACTTTATTTATATACATTTATCTTTTTGATTTCGATATTTAGTCAAATTAATTAATTAATGAATCATAAATAAAATTAATAAAATGAGTAATTTCTTGAAAATAAACGCCAAAAGTAAAACCAATATTTAGTAAACTATATGTATTTGCAAATAAAAAAAGTATATAATTGTATCCTAAGGCAACGTTAATCTCGCATATTCTTAACAATAACAAGTAGGAAAATATAAGCAAACATTGTAAAAAATATTTAGTTAAATACTCAACGTTATTAATATTATAAACAGTTACGCCTGAAATTGTAAGTATATAGAACAATTTGACTAGTGATTTCCAAAATGAAAAAAACAAAACAAAAGATAAAACAATGCATTAAAATTAATATTCAATTTTAGTATTTCCAAAATGTATTTTAACGAAACCTTTCCGCGGTTCTTCATTATGGGTTTTGTAACTGTTATAGCTTGGCGCAAACGCTGAACTTCTAGCTACTTTAAGGTGATTAGTTCCGTTGTTTCTATTAGGATGGTCGTCGGCCGTGGTGTAGTCCGTGAATAAGAATTTTGGAATGTTGAAACGTTTTATTAGAATACTGTCCTTGTTTGGTATAGAACTTGACGAGTAGCCGTGCAATGGGTCATCAGCATTATCACCTATGTTTTCCGAAACATATTCGCTCATCCCTGGATTCCGGTCATCGTACTGCTTTATTTCCGATTCCGGAGGCACCAAAGTCTGTTGATCTGAAGATGAAATGTGTGATTTAGGGGATTGTACCTCATGAGATGATTCTACCTCATTTTGTTGAATCGTTGCTGGCGAGGCCTTCCCTTGTTGGAAACCGAATTGGAAACCAGATCGTTGACTAACTGCCGAACCGAAAGTTTTAGGTATTTGTGATACAAGACTTTGTGTTAGAGAAGATGGGGGATTAAACTGAGAAATTGAGTATGGTGTAGTAAACTGTTGGGTTGGAAATTGTGCTTGTGCTAATTGTGGGAAAAGGTGCTGAGAAAATGCGTGCGGAGAAAGAGAATTTGGTGATAGAATTTGCGGAGTTAAAGAATGTGGTGATAGAGCATGCGGTGCTGAAGCATGCGGAGACAGAAATTGCGGTGACAGTGCTTGGGGAGAGAAAGTTTGTGGAGAAAACGCTTGTGGAGAGAAAGCCTGTGGAGAAAACGCTTGTGGAGAGAAAGCCTGTGGAGCGAAACCTTGTGCTGGTGGAGGATACGCTTGAGGGTAAGATGGATACTGTGCAGCTGACAAAGCATTCCCTGCTTGCTGACCATAATACGACTGTTGTGGATATTGCTGTGGAAATTGTTGCCTGAACGTTTGCTGATAGTTTGGCATGTATTGGTTTAATCCAGCCGCTCCAAACTGACCAGATGATCCATACGCGCCACCGTAATAATTACCACCGAGAGGGTAATTGAAGGGGATGCCCCGCTTTTTGGCGTGGCCGTTGCTGAATTCATTGTTGTCGTTGCTGTTGTTGTTATTTTTTTGGGTTTTCAAGGCATCAGTGTGGAAACTATGTATTATCAGGATAACGGATAGGATCTGAAATAGAAAGTTATTCGTAAAAGTTTCTGTTATAACCGAGAGATTTTTAAGAGATATTTACCAAAAAAGGTTTCATTGCTGCGTACATCACGCTATTAAATCAATGAATGACAAATTCTCTCTACGATAACCTTTTATATTACTATTTGTCAAAAGTGAGGGACAGACAAGAGATTTGTTATACTTTCGAGGTGTAGGCGGGGCTAGCCAAAGAACGAAAAAGTGCAGGCTGTCGCTGCGGATATTGAAGTATCAAGGGAATCGTTACGAAAGCGAAACAGACTCACGATTACAGTTTTTGTGAAAAAGGCAGAGAATGTGCATGTCACTCTCTTCCAGACCGTTGTGAACACATTTTATAATATTGTGTCACCTCTATTCATCAACAATTATTTTTTTAGAGGAAGTAAGTAAAAGACGTGAAACAAGTATGTGTACGTACATGCGCTTTCTCTGTGCTTGAAATTTTGTTCATCCTAACTTCTGTTTTTGGTCTTTTCCAAGAAAACTAACTTAGCAGTAATTACTAAAATGGTATAAATCGACTGGTAGGTACCGCAATTCGTATTGATTTGAAAATAGCGACAATGCAGTTGTAGTTGTTTTCTTAATAGAATAAATAACATTGAAAAGTGTTGTGTTTCTATTCAAAACGATATGTTGTCAAATTTTATACTAATGTTCAGTGAAAATCGTCGTCAATGTGTGCTAGTTTCATATACGTATGCGTTTTAAAAATTCAGTATATACTTGTTTATTAATTACAAATGGTGAAATATGTGCCGCCTTCAGTTTTACAAATAACTTAAAAGTGATTATATGCTTTTTAACAATTGGTAAGGACCGTTTTCAAAATTGTAGGTGTATAAGTAGGTGCATTGATTTAAAGTTTGTCGCGTTCTGCTGAACGTTTAGTTACTTTAGAACCAAATTACTAATTGGCACCGGTTCATCAATTAAATTTAAAATTGATTAGCAAAATTACCAGATCGTAAATAATTGAAATCCTTTTTAAATCACACAAAAATCTTCTAAATCTCGTGAAAAGATCGTGACTTTCATCTCAGCCATTGAAGCGTTTCTGTTGCTATATTTATTGATTGTTCGTGATTGACAACCGAAAAAAGGATAATGCACGTTTCTACTACTTTAGGACATCATTGTACATCAAGTAATGAATTTTGTCGTCGACTATTACTTTACTATAGAGGTACTGTTTTAATTATTTATGTGAACCCTGAATTAATATCAAAAATCTTAAATTGATATTGACTTTTATACTGTCTACTATTTGTTCGATAGGATATTTTTACATAGAACTGCCCAGTAATCGTAACTATATTAATCTATAATTGTAATATTGAAATTAACTACATAATTTAGAATTTTAGTAAAACATTTAATAAAGGATGTAGTATTCCACCTAAAATTTTTTTTTATTCTTCGATATTTATTGTTTACGTTGGTGATAAAATTATCCTTATAGTTTAACTGTTAATAATGTTCGTAATCTACGATATTTTCTCTTCAGTTAATCGCTTGCAAAATTATTTGACAGCCATAATAAAAAGAAAGAGTCATGACAATATTTTGAAAGAACCCACTAGTATTTATAGTGGCTTTTTATCCCATTTTGAAATAAGTTACTTATTTCACGCCTATATAGTTCGAAATTTCTCTGTGAAAGTATTATATAAATAAAGACGTGCTATGATTTCGCATTATTTATTAGGTATAATAATAATGCATAGTTTCATTCATTATAAAACATAAAGACATCAAAATTTGCAAAAGAAGAATACCTACTTTATATTAAATAAATAATTTATGAAGATACTAGTACAAAATTTAGTTTTCATGACAGATTTTTTGTTTAATTCGTTTTAATTGTTATTTTTTATGGGGTGCTTACAACAATCATAAAAAGTCAAACGACATCTTAGGGTCTTATTTGTTTATTTATTTTTTTAATTGAATCACAGTAAAATCATTTAATTTACAAGCTCTATTAGCCACACATATTATGCATCGCGACAATGACTTAATTCAATTGTTGGTATGTAATTGCACAATAAATTTTTAAAAATATTAATTTATTTTCTAATAAAACATTGTATTTACATAAATATATAAAGATAAATATGTATCTACTACTTAATTGAAAATACTTGACGTTTCACAAGGGCGAAAAATTGACGTCGGGATGAAGAAAATTAATTATAGATAGTCTTTAATGTTTCATTGAAGAATTATCCGACGAATTGTCGGTTGTATTGCTACTATTAGTTGCACCACGTCTACCGCGATGCCAGCCTCCATAGTAGGGATGATTATGTGGAATTTGTTGTCCATGTTGTATGACAACTGGTGTAGCTATTGGAATAACTACAGGTGTTGGTACTCTGACTGGAGTAGGCTGTGGTACATCAACGGGAACAGGTTGAGGTACCGGTACAGCAACAGGTTGCGGCACAGGAACTGGTACTGCTTCGGGAACCGCAATTGGAACTGGTCTGTCAATTGCTACGGGAACAGGCCTTGGTACGCTTACAGGTTGAGGTACCGGAACTGGTACCTGTACAGCTCTCGGTACGTCAACGGGTACCGGCTGGGGTACGGGTATCGGCAGCGGCCTATCTACCGCCACCGGAATAGGTTGTGGTACAAGCATAGGGATTGGTTGTGGAGGGGGTGGTGGAGGATACCATCCATATGGATTATGATGAAACCATTGCCGTTGGTTTCCATTGAATACCTGACGTTTGGCTGTCTTTTTTTCATCAATAGCTGCTGCGCCACATTTGCTTATACTAGCAACAACTAGTATAAGTGTGGCCACCTAGAAAAATTAAACGTTCGGGATGAGCAAATGTGGCTGGGGGCACTACCCTACAAAAACAGAACGTATTCTTACCACAAAAGGTTTCATGTCTGGTTATGGGAGATGACTTGCAGCAAGTGATGCTTTACCCCCGCTTAGGTGTCTATTTATACGAACCGTGTTTGGTGAGGGTTACCCTGATTCACTTTCACTGGACAGGTGCATCTAAGAACCCATAAATTCGTCAAAGATTCGCCAAGACGTTGGACATCAGCTTAGTCGTTTTGTCAAAAACTGCGAATTTACCGGTCTCTGAAGCACTTGTCCCGCATAAACAAGACACTCATGGTTATTTTTTTATTTAGATGCCCCTTGTTTTTCAAAATTTTATTTTATTTTAACACCACCAACACTTCTAGTTGTCGATTTATTTATGAAACCGTTTGTCGCGATTTACCTTTGTAATCCACAGAACCGTTCAAGCAGCTCGAACGTTTGTTCCAATAGTCATTTAAAAGCTCTGGTTTTAAACGGAGTGCATAACAGTTCGGTCTGCCGATGCCTCAAGAAAAACTTCAAAATTAATCAATCCAATTCGTAACTTTAATTATCGTTAGTGCGTGACGTCTTAGGTAATCTACTAAGATTGCTATTTAAGTCTTTGGATTTATATCTAAATTTTCACTCGGGCAACGTAAACAATAGTGGATTACGTAAGAATTGCAGGAAGAAACGCATCGGCTGTAGGTGTCTCCGTCATACCTTCAACTTTCTGCATCGACGATTACGTAATTGTTTTTATTCAATCAAAAAAAGATTTATTAATAGTTACAAAACAATGTGCCACTGTAGTTTAGTAAAATACTTGCTTACTTATGCGACAATTGTGAAATGAATAAGTAATACGTTGTCAACATTATTTTGCATATTTTTTACTTCTGTCGCCGTGGGAACCTAACGAAAACTAGACCAAACTTTGACTATAAAAATCTCCAAAAAATAACTTCACGTAACAGGTACAGTGATTGTCTCATCGAACGACCGGGTTTTATAATTTTACATTTCACACATCGGAGTACGTAGTTTACCGAAGTGTGGCTTATATCGAAATAGACGTTTTTGCCGCATGCATATGCTTCTGAAAGTGAGTTTTCATTTTTAGCAGTTTTTCATAGTAGTTAGGAGAAGAAGTTGGTAACAGCTCGCTTTGTTTCTGGCAGATAAATTAAAAGGATTTTAAGAGATTATTCAGGTATTATTAAGTAAGAATATTTTTAGTCTTAAGACGCAATTCCACTTTTTAGTATCCTGAGCTAATCTTCGGATTTCCCTAAGACTAGAACATTCCACATGCTTAATTATTATTTGTGAATAGCTAAATTTTATAACATTATGCTGGTCTCATTGTTCTAACATTCCACGCTCCTACTCGTAAAATATTACATCTTGCTCTTGCTGACTTGATGACATCCCCCAATGTAGTCCCGGACATCCGAATGGATAAATATTTTACCCCAGAGAACGCAATTAGTCCGGTTAATCGAGTTTCTACTGTATTTCAGTTTTGGCGTTTTATACTCGGAATACCATAATGCGATGTTGCCCATGAGAGTGTCATACCGATCCTTGTGATCTCTACTACTCTGAGTACTGAAAGAGCTGCTGCCCTCTTTCAGAGACATGTCTTAGTTTAGTTTCTCATTAAGAATCTCTCATTATGGTTGAACCCATGACCCTGCTTCCTAAATCATCGAAATGTGTAAACCGATCCATCCACTCCATTTTGTACAGGAACTTCCTCAAGGTTCAAATCCCGTCAGTTCGGAAAAATGTGGAACACCCGCAGGTACTTAATTAAATTGAAATTTTGATGGCACCGGCGCATGGAGTTGGAAAAACTGAAATGAAAATATGATCTATATCTTTTAGTAGGTCTAATTATAACTAACACTTTCGAGAAACTTGAGGAAAATCCAAAATTTTAATTCTTTTTAAATACTTCACAAATCAAAAGGAATATTCTATATTTCCAGGTACTACACTATTTGTCCTCATTTTACAGTCGTCGTATGTCATATAGATTAGGAGATTCCCTTGGTGAATGTCGAATTTGAATCAGACTGTATATATGTGCAGGTATACACGAGTGGCGAGTTGAGAACCGACCGTAGGAATATTCAGTTACATGCAATCATCATGCGACTTTGCTATAGCAAAATTCATACAAATATCTTCAACCGTCTTTTCATATTGTACCTATGCTTATCTAATTATAGAACCTACCTTGACAAAGTCTTTCCAATAAAGGCGAATCGTCGATGTTAGTCCTTCACACTAATATACCTTCCAACCCTCAACTGCCTAGATTGTTTACTTATATAGTCATATCAAAACTAAAAGGAAGAAATAGAGAATAGTTACATTAACTGATAATTTCAGGGAAGGAGATTCATGAATGGGTGATTAAAAATATGTTAAGCATTTTAATTAAGATAGTAGAATGAAAAGAAGTTTTCTACATACTCACAAACTAATCAATCAATATAGAATTTGCATGATATTGTTATGAAGCTAAAGTTTACAAAATGATCAAATTTACAAAAATATTTTTTGTATTACTTGCTAATAAAAGTCCTTTGCTATTTTGAATTTCATATTCATTAAAAATGATTACTGTTAAATAAATTAATATCACTAATTAGGATCTTTGATGTAGGTATTAGTAAGGTTTAAAGTCTTTACGTGATTATGGTGACGCCATTGCTTCACATCTTTTAATAATTCTTCAAGTAAAATCTTCAGATCTAGTTCTTCTTAGCATTTGCTTAAATAAGACGAAAGTACAAACTGACTCTATTTAGTACTACCATTTCATTGTTTTTTTTCATTCTATTTTTACCATTAAAATATTTAATTTACTTGACCCTACAACCAGGCTTGTAACCAACATTTGTTTTTCGGAATCAGCTCCAAACATTCAGTGGTTTATGGTTAAATTAGCAATTCACCACTTCTTAAATTAACAAAGTTGTAAAAAAGTCAATTATTTGTGAATTAAATGGTGACGTGTATCTATTTAATTATTTTTTGATACGTCTCTGAAACAAAACCATTTATTTATTTATTTATTACACAGAAAATAGTATTTAAATTAAGAGTGGCCTACTTCTCGTTCATTTTTTTTTTATTTCGAGAAAGAAATTATTACAGTAACTTATCTGCCCGTGAATAGGAAATAAAACAAATTAATCCTAGCTATTTGTGTCGTTCTAACAAAAAGAACTGTAAAATATTTGTGCCCAGTGATTTACATAACAGCAGACAGAAATGAAAAATAAAAGGATTGACTTCTTTTTCTTCGAAATAAAACACATCAAGATTGACTTACACAGTACTGTGTCGATTAGCAAGAAGAGTATTTATAAAAAGAACAAACAAAGGAATCTAAGAACGAGTGTTTCATAAGGCATTAATTACATCGTTTTCAAAATTCCTTTTCATTAGAAACCTAACGAAATCTTTTAAAACACTTGAACTTACGTTGCTTTATTAAAAAGTGTAAGTATATCAATTTCAGTCATTGGTTACTGTTATTTTTTTGTTTTTAGTATCAGTTGAGTTATTTAGGGCTGTCATGATCCTTGTATCACCTGTCCGTTCCCGCCTGGGTTAAAGTGTCAGAAGTATCGACTGCTAGTCAAACGAATTAGATCCGATAAATACTTTTCAAAAAATCCTGATCCACTTATTTATAACAAGGGAATTTCATAATTTTTAAGTCGATATTTATATATTGGTTAGTGATATACTTTTTCTTTTTAAAATAATGGAAAAACACTGTAGTAACTGATTCATCATAATAAGGTCGTCAGTCCTAAGACCCTGCTTTTTCTTCCCTTGCATACCAGTATTTTTGTTTTACTTTTATTTATTGCCATACAATACTGTTTTGTCGGTACCGCTTTCATTTTATTTAAAGCTATCTCTAACTCTTCCCTGCTAGATGCTAATACTACTATATCATCTGCAAATCTAAGCATACTAATCTTTTGTTCCTAGCGTAGCGTTCCTAAGTAGCGGTGACAGTGTAATATTTACTAATATATAAAATACTCTAATATTTACTTCTCTACGTTGCATCTCCAGCTTTATAACTGCCTGTTGCTCTTCATACAAACTAAGTATCACTCATATATCTCTGTAACTCATCCCTACATTTTCAAGTATATTAAGCATCTTGTCCTATTTAACATTGTCAAAATCTTTTTCTAAATCTACAGATGTATGCGCTCTATCCTTTTTCTGCCGTTCTAAACCTAAATTCTTTTTTCCTTAATAGTTCTTTTCGCCTTTTTTTCTATCCTTCTCTGTACAATTCTGGTTAAAATTTTGCACTTCGTAATGATGAAATATTTCCTCATATTTTAACATGGTAACAAATTAAATGGTATCTAAATCTATTTTCGGCTAATTTAAGTATAAATCAACTTTCGGTAAATGCTAAACGATTAATACATAAATTAATTAGTGCAACAATTTTTTTCTTTTTAGGATTAGGTTACTTGGTAACTTACTTAGAGCATTACACTAATCTCTTCGATTTAAACACTAATTATTTATTAATATTCAAATAGTGACCTAGTATATTTAAATATTGATCAATAAAATACAAACGTTTTGGCTTTCTGAACGACGTTTGTCTATATTTTTGAACGCCTTGTATAGTAAGTTAAATTTAGATTTTAAAACATAAGGACGAAACTTATAGTTTGACTACAATGGTCATGTTGCGTACATTTTGGGTCACGCTGTATATATATGCCCAAGAATGAATTTTGTATACGTAAGTACTACAAGAGTAGATGTTATGCAAGAACGCTCTAACACCTATTAACCCAAATGTTGCGTTTGCATTACATTTTTATGCAGTTCAAGTTAATTAATTTTGTTATGGTATAAGAATTTATATTACAATAGGCAGTAGAAGGGAACGGAAAATGCCGATAACAAATTATTTTACCTACTTATATACATAAAGGTATATCGATCGTTTTATGTAATAATAAACAATTACCGAAAATTGTTTACCTAACTGGATTTTTCGAGAGTAATATTATAACTGGTACTATTTACAGAAATTTGTTTTACAGTCATTGCAATCCAATGTTATGTTCTGTAGACTTTTCCGAAGTAAACTTTACTACATACAAAAATTATTTTATTATTGTAAATGTGTAAAATGTTAGAACTCATTACATTATTTTAATTATTTTTCATAGTATGTAGTAAACTAGTAAACTACATAAGTTGTTATTCTTTGAGAAATTGTCACATCGCAATTAAGTGTTTGCAATTGCATGATCCTACACTTTAGTAAGTCATTGAATGGATTAATTATTTTTCAACATTAGTTAAATATTGACGGGTTATGAAAATATTTTGTTGAAACATTTTTATTACGATTCGAATTACTTGACCATTGAAATCACTTAATTATTGTTGGAGTTTTCGAAAAGTTAAAACATAGGAATAAACTTTCTTGATTCCATGATTTTATAAGACAAAATATAGATACAAGTCCTACCCAATTACTAATATTTCACGGTAGTCGGGTGAAATCATATTACGTAACTAGGACACCCTGATGGGGTAACTCAACTAGAATAGAAACTAAGTCATTGTAGAGTGCATTTAGTATTTCTAAAATAGCAAACAGCTTTGAAAAATATCACAGCACTAATATGTAGATATGACTGTTTACAAAAATTAACGTAAAATATAAAATAAAAATAGGGAGTTTGGAGTTTGCATCAGTAGACTCAGTACTTAGAAGAACTATTTCAAATAAACTGATTTTTAAATGCAGAACGTTTTTTTGTAAAAGGCTCCACCAAAATGCAAAGTGTAAGCTTTACAATAATAAAGGCTTCTATTGATGCAAAATACATGTATGCCGTATGTCAGTTGCTACTTTTGCCGTAAAGTCCTTTTTTAACCTGTCTTATTGAATTTAAGTCTGTATTCTGTAGCAAGCTGGACTTTAAACAATGTCTTTTATTGTTCTGTATGTAGGACTAATATAAAATTACCGGTGTAATTAAGCAAAACGTAAAAAGTGTGTACCAAGTGAGTAATTTAGTGTATATTGAGTAACATTCTGTAGAAGTGTTTATTAACCTAGATACAACAATTACGTTAAACTTATACGTAGATAGTATAATTAATACTTGCTGTTGAACCATGGATAAAGTAATGAAGAAAATCAAAACAATCTTAAAATATACTTACAGTTGTTATTGCATAGTTGTAAAATTGTTACCTATTGTGTCCAGAACATTGATTTTGTGTATATCTTAAATAATCGTCTATAGATCGGTTGTAAAAGTATATGTAGTTTATTTTCAAGGGTTCTGTTTTGTAATTGAACTTTTAATGCGTTGAGAGTAACAGTTTAGCCTGTGGCGGAAGTTGCGCACGCAGCATGTAACGGAAGTGCGTCACACAATGCGACAAAACGACCTTGAAATTCTGAAAGGATTATAAAAGCTGCTATTTTCAAAGTTTATCAAAATTTTTTTGTTATTTTTGTATGACATAAGGCTCTGTGAAGGGGTTTGTCAGAAGAAAGAATAAAATTTTTCTTTCATAGTTTTGAAACGCGTAGAAAGTCATTCCGATAAATTTACAAAATAGAGCATTCCATCTCCCCAATCTTATTTCCGAAACCACTTGACAATAAAAGATTAAACGATCAGACGACACAAACAATAACGCTACAGAGTAATAAATGTTATACCTATAACACATTATTTCCAACCCTTAAGTTGTCGTTAAGGCTAGATTATCAATTGAGACTCCATATCTCATTTTCTAATGTAAGAAACCTCTACGCAGTTGTCCAGTTTGTCTCTGTCTGGTATTTTCTTTGTTTTTTACATACCTTTTTAAATGCACAAAAGTGTTACAAACGTTGTTCACGCCCTAGATACTTCCTGCGTAATCTCTTACGTAAAGGAGCAGAAAAGGAAGCTGCCATAACATTAGACATCTGTTCGAAATCACCGGATTTAGTTAGACGGTCATATTAGACGATCATACTGGAAAAGAATGTATTTCAGCGAAAGTTGGGTGCAGCCGGGAAATCGCACGTACTAGTTCAGTCGCACTTTTTCCCTCTTTGTTTAATAAATAGATACGTACGGATGCATATACCGTACGCGAAAGTGCTGATCTTGGTATTGAGTTAAGGCGCTCTCCTTAGTAACTGTCTAACTGCTGGAAGTTGTGTGAAGACACATACGTACAACTCATTTCAAATGGTTAAAGATATGACCTTTTCTTTTACTTGAATTCCACATTTAATCATATTTTATATCATTAAAACAATCTCTGTGATGTTTACGCCTAGTATGTATTCTTTCTTTTCGTGCAGCTTTCCTCAACGTGACGTTATAAGAATACATATTTCGCATGGTGTATACTGTAAGATTTCCCATACCAAGATCAACTCTTTCGCATACGATATAAATGTGCATGAGGATAAACAAATATGAGAACATTATGATAATAAACAATATGAATGAAGGCTTTAAACTTGCATGAGAATTATATAATGATTGTTACTAATATTAAATGCTAATAAATACCTACTGACCTTTTAGTTGCTGAAAAACGCCGAAGGAAATTAGTTATTGAATAATAAGTAAACGTGAACTAAATAAAAATTTAAAGGGACACAATATTTAGATAATATTGATTTAATTTTTGATAAGTAACTGATGAATTAGTTGCTATTCACAATATTTAAGCCAATCATATTTAACAGAATAAGCAGTGATCAAAATATTTCGTTGTGAAATCAGAATTTTCCATTTTCATTAGTTATTTTGAACTGACAGAATAAGTTACTTAAGTAATTCATTGTACTATCAGTAAAACGAGTTAAACGTCCTTGTGATTGAAAACTGCAATGACAATTTTCGTGACTTTATTTCCAGGTATGAAGTATTGACTCATTAATAGAAGGCATTTTTACAGTTTATTCCAATTTTTCGTTGTTTCTGTGAATGATATTCCTATTTATACATACATATTAGTTAATCGTGAAAATTTACATCGTTTGGATTAATGTTCAGTGAATATTCTGATACCTGTATATAAACTTTTTTCATAAACGATCTCATTAGTTACTTACAGTAGCATTTCTTTTTGCTTTAACTACATAAATAACTTATAAATAATATTCTGATTGCGTGCTTTAATACTTTCTACTCAACGATTTCATTTAATTTATACGTATTTGTTTAATTTTGTTTCAATTCTTTTACAATTTTAAATTAATTGAACGTTTACTTCTATGCGTATATGTTTAATATATTATAAGTGATTTTACCGCAACGGATAAACGAATGGGTTCAACAATTTTCTCGTTCAGTTATTCAGGATTGGATACGTCAATATTCACTTCCTCAATGAAAAACAGAGCAGATTTTATTAAAACGTTATATTACAAACAACAAGTTGATAGTGAATATATTCTTGTTATTTCACTTATGTCAAGTCATAGTTGAGTAAGATTGACACTACATTTTCTTATATAACACTCGCAACTGTTTTAATACACATACATCATGTTGCGCAAACATTCTGTTGTAGGTACTTGTTGTGCTACCTTTATTCTATCCATTTAAATTCTGGGTTCAACTATTACGTTTGTACTTACTACTACGAAAGGGCTACTTGGCGTTGTTCATTAAAAAGTTTGCTGAAGTGTAGGCATTATTGGAAATAAATGATCAATAATCCATACTATAACAAAAATACGAATTGTGTATGGTGTTTTTTTTTTAAGCTTTCAGCGGATTCAGTTTTGATTCTAAGAGCGTCACGTCTCTAAAGAAAATGATTCGCTATCACAATGTGGTACATCATAAATGCTTTCGTTAAGCCTGAACAAAGATTTTTCTCCATCGGAAACAAAAATGAGGATTACAGGAATTAATGCCGATTAGAATGCAGGAATTGTTTCTTACATTAGAGTTACATAAATTGACATAGGATACATAGTCATAATAACATACAATGTACAAATTGCTTTAACCATTAGAGTGGAATCTAGGCAAGAAAGACAGCTCCTTATCTGGGTTTGCCTTAATCTAAACACGACTACTACATTTCTATTTACCCCGGTGCACTAAAAGTAATACAATTTAATAACCTTCACGTTTATCGATATTTATTTGTATTTATTAGTTTAACAGTGAAGTTACTTGATGGAAAACGTAAAAGTTAAGAACTACACATAATACTTTGAATACCCAATTGACTGAAGCTTTCCAAATGTATATAGTTTGAATACCAATAGAAAATTATAAAAAAAAATGACAGAATGCTTGAATCTAGAATTTTGGTTGTTTTACGTGGTGACAGTGAAATTTACTGGCTTATGGAATGTACAAAATTTAAGAGAACTCCCAAGTATTTTGTGCAAAAAAATCATTGAACTATTGTTCATTTTATTTCATTGAATATAAGCCTCTCAGTTTGAAAAGAAAAAAGAAATGTCTGTTAAAGATTGAACTTATTATTAAATTAGAATTGGGATCAGTTTCTCCTTGCTTGAATCTTCTTTCATGTTCAGGAAACATTTGATTGAGAGATCTAGAGGTTTGTTCGATGTAAACCATGTTGTTTTTAATGAATTGAATTACTAGGACATATTTTTGGAATCAAACTTTATTTTATTCAATGTTTTTCTTGATAATGATAAACATTAACAATATTTCTAGAGAATTAGCATTTTACGGTTCTAATTAAAAAAAAAAAGTCTTGGTCTGTGTGGGCTGCTCATTGGCTCAATACTGCTTTGTATTTTCCCACTGTTAGTTGATAACCCAACAAATGTCATTTAAAGTCACAGTCACAGATGGTTCTTACGCGGTTGTTATCCCACCACTGGTGTTCGAACTCAAATAGCGGCAGTGAAAATGGTTGATTTACAAAAATGTGGAAGAAATACTCTCATATAAATCTTTCTTCGGCATTAGTTCTCTGCTTTTGTAAAGCTAACATATTACACTCACGCCAGATTTAAAAACTATCATGTAAGTTTCTTTTTCGCGAATTTCTTTTTTCTTCTTTTTTACTTTCACTTCACACTACATTGCACTCGGTTTAGAATATCAATATTTTTGGTAAGCAAAATATTAAGTTATTCGAATTAAGCATCACTCTCTTTTTAAATTAGTTAAAAGTTTAAAAAATACTAACGGAAATTTGTACGGTTTATATGATACTTAAAAAAGAATATCTTTTGAGTGTTTTTGGTATTATTTAACAAAATTATTGCAATGCCGTTACAGATATAAAATAATTGCAAAATCTGAGTTGTATAAGTAATTCTAATTTGTTTAAAATTTTGTTCGGCAGTGACATTGGATGCGGTACACATGCTGTATAAGTGAGTTGTAAGCGTGACAGTGAAGGGAAGGAAATACTTTCGCTATCACTGATCCGATTTATCGTAGAAGTAGAATGTAAAGTCGTCGAACTTTCTTTGATCCACCTCTATCTACAGATTTCGCAAATTTATGCATCTATTTTACAAAACTCATTCGTTTTTGGAGAAACGTTGCAAAAAGAAATTATGATCTTTTCAGACTTGGCGAACCATTTTTATTCATTATTATTCTCTATGCGCCTAATGAGACAAATTATTAAACCTATTCCGCTTTGCTAGTTAAATTAAATGAAAATACATGCTACTTATTACATGTGTATTAGCTATGTAACAAAAAGGTGGAAGTACTTTCGCTTATATTATCGGATATGGTCGTCTCTATCTCTTATATGTCAGGTACAAGTAGATGAACAAAGATGGGTAGTTACTTCCATTCAGAAAATTATTTGGAGAATTCGCCGTCTCCTAAGAAAGTAAACTGGTCTTCTACTTCCTAATCAATTCCCTGATTGTCGGCCGTATATAAGTGCTCTTTTAACAAATACTTTCATCAGTCCTGATTCGTTCAACGTGTGTTTACTAAAATGGTGTTCTGGGTAGGTTCCTTTAAAATATTTCTTTTTTTTTCCCTGTTTACTTTTAATATAAAAAAATAATACGTTGTAACTATCAAACATCTTATTTTTTTAAGGCCTTTGCACTTCCGCTTTTCTTCCTTTCCCAAACTCTGGCAATTCCTGGGTTTTCCAGCCATGGCCCAACTAGGCTCGTAGGAGTGCCCGACATAAAAGATTACGACAAATTGGTGTATCCTAAACAAGATATCCAGGACGGTGGTAGTTTTTCTCACGCCGATCTTACCAAAATTGTTAGAGTGTCTGATAAAGCAATAATTACTCAACCAAAACCGTACCCCGTTCACGTGCCCTTCAAGGTTCCTTATCCTGTCAGCGTTCCTAAGCCTTTCCCGGTCCACGTTCCCCACTTTGTAAAAGTACCTCACCCAGTTCCCGTGGAAGTTATAAAAAAGGTTCCAGTTCCCGTTGAAGTTCCGAAACCATATCCAGTTCCCCATGACGAGTACCAAGGTGGTCAAGGACACGGAGATTGGTCATCTAGTGGCTATTCTGGGGGAATTGGAGGCGGTGATTATAAGCAATTATCGCAAGACGATAATGGCCAGTATAATAACGACGCGTATTCAGCTGGACAGTATCAAGGAGTAAGTGGTTACGGAAATTCTGGTTTGGAACACGCTGACGGAGACAATTCCGCTGACTATGCTGCCGTTGAACAACAACAGGTGCAACATGTTGAAGCCAGCCAAGACGTAGAACAAAGCGAAGCAGCTGAACAACATTAAATTTTTGATTAATGTAGACGAATGATTGTCGAAAGGGTGTGAGCAATATGTGATTCTTCATTGTTAATTGTTTCTGTTATTAATTATTGTTGTAAATAGATATTCTTCATAGTTATGTTGCACAAATAAAGACGTTTTATACTTTTCTAATATTAGTTTTTCGTAAATAAAAACCGGTGTTGTTTCTAACACTGGTGACCTCTAATAGTTACATTTAAATAACTTGCCAAGCAGTCAGCTGTTGGTCACAACGCTTCTATGCGCTTTCGACTTTTATTACACAAAAAATGGAGAATCTGTTAATTTATGTACTTGAGATACGAGAACATTCTTAAACTGTCTCTGTATTATTATACGGACACTTGAGTTTGGTTTAAATTTTAAACTATTTTGATATAGAAAGAAATAGCTGCACGCACAAGTTTTTATTAAACAGTTTTTAGATTTGTTGATGTCTCTATTGAAGAAGACTTCAAAGCTATCATTTAAAGAAATTATTTGAAATTCCATCGAATATTTCGCTACTTTCATTACCACTTTCTCAGTAACTTCGTGTTTTCATTTATTTCGTCAAATAATCTAAGAAACTCCAAAAATTGAGTTGGTTGGTCAGTAGTAAAATGTTGACGTTTTAATGTGTGTATTACGGTAAAATATAATTATAATCCATTATATAATAAAGGAAATTATTTAAAAATAAAATTAACCCAATTCCACAAAAATTGCTCGTAAAATGACTAATATTTAATAATTACTTTTAAATTAAAACTGCTACAATTTTAATGAATAATATTCAAGAAGAATTTTCTAACAATATGAAGGAGTATAACGAAATGCTTATTTTGATTATTAATTGAAAAATCCACTGCTACTTCGTTTAATATTTCCGGCCAAAAATTATGAATGATTAATTTCTAGTGTTCTGTTCTTTTCGTTATTATGATCGGTTGTTCTATGCTCCTTTGGTAATGTAATTTTATTATGTTGATTATCAAATAGTACGTATGATTGCATGGTAATTATGCCCAATTTCGTAGCATCAAATCATTCGTATTTTAAATGCTAAAGTAATCAGCAAAGCTTAAGTACCTACTACATTTACACTTCAGATTCGTGTTTGTGGTAGAGCGACCCAGACACTGAGTTTCAAGAATAAAAACTACATTAAGCTTTTTTAAAATTTATCGTACAATATTTACAATGAGATATTAGCTCAGGCAGTTGAATGTTAAACGTTTTTCGTTGTAAATGCACGAAATTTCCTTTCACAGGATTTAAAAGTCCTGATTACCTAGCTGCTAGCCAAAATTCAACAATTATTTTTTAATTTCTTCATTGTCTTGTAGTTTTGCGAATAAATCTTTCAAATTTTAACAAGTAATGGATTACAGCACCGCGTTTAATTTGCCCTTCTGGCCATAATTACCGTAATTAACATTACCACATTTTAAGTTATTATTTTCCTCTGCTTTCTTTTTTATATACGTATACGTATATGTCCTAATTAATGTTCTCATACACAGTCACAGATGGTTCTTACGCGGTTGTTATCCCACCACTGGTGTTCGAACTCAAATAGCGGCAGTGAAAATGGTTGATTTACAAAAATGTGGAAGAAATACTCTCATATAAATCTTTCTTCGGCATTAGTTCTCTGCTTTTGTAAAGCTAACATATTACACTCACGCCAGATTTAAAAACTATCATGTAAGTTTCTTTTTCGCGAATTTCTTTTTTCTTCTTTTTTACTTTCACTTCACACTACATTGCACTCGGTTTAGAATATCAATATTTTTGGTAAGCAAAATATTAAGTTATTCGAATTTAGCATTACTCTCTTTTAAATTAGTTGAAAGTTTGAAAAATACTAACGGAAATTTGTACGGTTTATATGATACTTAAAAAAGAATATCTTTTGAGTGTTTTTGGTATTATTTAACAAAATTATTGCAATGCCGTTACAGATATAAAATAATTGCAAAATCTGAGTTGTATAAGTAATTCTAATTTGTTTAAAATTTTGTTCGGCAGTGACATTGGATGCGGTACACATGCTGTATAAGTGAGCTGTAAGCGTGACAGTGAAGGGAAGGAAATACTTTCGCTATCACTGATCCGATTTATCGTAGAAGTAGAATGTAAAGTCGTCGAACTTTCTTTGATCCACCTCTATCTACAGATTTCGCAAATTTATGCATCTATTTTACAAAACTCATTCGTTTTTGGAGAAACGTTGCAAAAAGAAATTATGATCTTTTCAGACTTGGCGAACCATTTTTATTCATTATTATTCTCTATGCGCCTAATGAGACAAATTATTAAACCTATTCCGCTTTGCTAGTTAAATTAAATGAAAATACATGCTACTTATTACATGTGTATTAGCTATGTAACAAAAAGGTGGAAGTACTTTCGCTTATATTATCGGATATGGTCGTCTCTATCTCTTATATGTCAGGTACAAGTAGATGAACAAAGATGGGTAGTTACTTCCATTCAGAAAATTATTTGGAGAATTCGCCGTCTCCTAAGAAAGTAAACTGGTCTTCTACTTCCTAATCAATTCCCTGATTGTCGGCCGTATATAAGTGCTCTTTTAACAAATACTTTCATCAGTCCTGATTCGTTCAACGTGTGTTTACTAAAATGGTGTTCTGGGTAGGTTCCTTTAAAATATTTCTTTTTTTTTCCCTGTTTACTTTTAATATAAAAAAATAATACGTTGTAACTATCAAACATCTTATTTTTTTAAGGCCTTTGCACTTCCGCTTTTCTTCCTTTCCCAAACTCTGGCAATTCCTGGGTTTTCCAGCCATGGCCCAACTAGGCTCGTAGGAGTGCCCGACATAAAAGATTACGACAAATTGGTGTATCCTAAACAAGATATCCAGGACGGTGGTAGTTTTTCTCACGCCGATCTTACCAAAATTGTTAGAGTGTCTGATAAAGCAATAATTACTCAACCAAAACCGTACCCCGTTCACGTGCCCTTCAAGGTTCCTTATCCTGTCAGCGTTCCTAAGCCTTTCCCGGTCCACGTTCCCCACTTTGTAAAAGTACCTCACCCAGTTCCCGTGGAAGTTATAAAAAAGGTTCCAGTTCCCGTTGAAGTTCCGAAACCATATCCAGTTCCCCATGACGAGTACCAAGGTGGTCAAGGACACGGAGATTGGTCATCTAGTGGCTATTCTGGGGGAATTGGAGGCGGTGATTATAAGCAATTATCGCAAGACGATAATGGCCAGTATAATAACGACGCGTATTCAGCTGGACAGTATCAAGGAGTAAGTGGTTACGGAAATTCTGGTTTGGAACACGCTGACGGAGACAATTCCGCTGACTATGCTGCCGTTGAACAACAACAGGTGCAACATGTTGAAGCCAGCCAAGACGTAGAACAAAGCGAAGCAGCTGAACAACATTAAATTTTTGATTAATGTAGACGAATGATTGTCGAAAGGGTGTGAGCAATATGTGATTCTTCATTGTTAATTGTTTCTGTTATTAATTATTGTTGTAAATAGATATTCTTCATAGTTATGTTGCACAAATAAAGACGTTTTATACTTTTCTAATATTAGTTTTTCGTAAATAAAAACCGGTGTTATTTCTAACACTGGTGACCTCTAATAGTTACATTTAAATAACTTGCCAAGCAGTCAGCTGTTGGTCACAACGCTTCTATGCGCTTTCGACTTTTATTACACAAAAAATGGAGAATCTGTTAATTTATGTACTTGAGATACGAGAACATTCTTAAACTGTCTCTGTATTATTATACGGACACTTGAGTTTGGTTTAAATTTTAAACTATTTTGATATAGAAAGAAATAGCTGCACGCACAAGTTTTTATTAAACAGTTTTTAGATTTGTTGATGTCTCTATTGAAGAAGACTTCAAAGCTATCATTTAAAGAAATTATTTGAAATTCCATCGAATATTTCGCTACTTTCATTACCACTTTCTCAGTAACTTCGTGTTTTCATTTATTTCGTCAAATAATCTAAGAAACTCCAAAAATTGAGTTGGTTGGTCAGTAGTAAAATGTTGACGTTTTAATGTGTGTATTACGGTAAAATATATTCG